GAAGAAGTTCTCGTTCAAGAAATCCTTCAAGCTGAGCGGGATCTCCTTTCGGAAGAACAAGAAGGAAGCCGGGGACTCCTCTGGCTCCTCTCCCACGGAGGAGCAGCAGGGCAAGGGCGAGGAGAGCCCCGCGGGGGGGGTGCAGCCCTCGGCTCCCCCCGAGGAGGGGTCGGCGGAGGAGCAGGGGGGCCCCGGGGAGGGCAGCGAGGGAGCTGAGCCCAAGGGGCAGGAGGGGGAAGCCGGCGGGAGCAAGGAGAAGAAGGAGGAGGAGGAGGAGGAGAAAGAGAAGCAGCAGCAGCAGCAGCCGGCGGGGGAGAGCCAAGGAGACACAGCCAAACCCGAGGAGCCCTCGAAAGCCGCGGGGGCCGAGCCCACAACAAGCCCCGCGGCGGTGGAGCAGAAGGAAGAGTAGATTCCACTTGGCATCGTCCTCACTGGAGACTCTCACGCCGTCCTCTCCATCCTGGAACACCACGGACTCGCCCACACCCCCCCCAGCCCACCTAGAACTGACACCACTCCCCAGACCCCACACGCCCCCCTCGAGGTATCTCTTCCCCCCTCCCCTCCTTTTTCCCCGGTAGAAAAAGCTGGTTTGGATTCCCACACCACTGCCACCACTTGGAGTAGTTTTACCTGAATCCTTTTAAAAAAAAAAAAAAACAAACAAAACTGGGGGAGGAAGATTGTTATCCTGGACATTCACTGGAGTTTTACAGTTTGTAAGAAAAACAGATCCCACGTCCTGCTCTGGATCTCTGCGACCTCCAGACTGTCCCTTCTCCTCCCAGCAGCTTTCCAAGCCCACTGACTGTTCAATGGATTTTATTTTTTTTTCTTCTTTTTTTTTTTTTTTTTTTTTTGTGTTTTGTTTTTGTTTTGTTCTTTAAAAAAAAAAAAAAAAAAAAATTTAAAAAAAAAAAAAAAAAAAAAAAAAAAAAAAAAAAAAAAAATGGTTTAAAAAAAAAAAAAAAAGTTTTTTATAAAGTCAATATTGGCTTAAAACCAAAAAGCCAAAAAATTCTGCTTCTAAGGGAAAAAAAAAAAAAAAAAAAAAGGGTGTGGGGTGGAGAAAAATAAAAAAAAAAAAAATAAAAAAAAAAAAAAAAAAAAAAAAAAAAAAAATGGCCCAAAAAAAAAAAAAAAAAAAAACAAAAAACAAAAAAAAAAAAAAAAAAAAAAAAAAAAAAAAAAAAGCAGGAAAAAAAAAAAAAAGAAACCAAACCACAAAACAAACAAACAAAAAAAGCTGTACGGGGCTTTCTTGTAACATTTGAAAGGAATAAATGGTGACCCCTTTATGGGAGAGCTCGAGTCCTTCTTGTCCTGGATGCCAGGGAAGGGCCAAGGGAAGATGGCAGTTGCTTATTTAGTTCAACAGCTGCTGCATTTAATCACTGCTCACACTTAATTGACTTGCAGCAGATGTAGAGCCACAGCCACAAAGGACTTTCCCACACCAGCCCTGTCCCTACCCCGGGATTGCTGCTCAACTGGCTGCTGGGGACCTGTTTTTGTCGAGATCCAACCCGATTTTTCCTGGTGTGGGGGGGGTGGTGGATTGAAAAATCCGGTATTTTTCTCACAATGAGGGTTACTGGGTGAAATTCCCATTTTTTGAGCGTGGTTTCTCTGATATAAATTGGTGGTGGGTTTTTTTTCTTTTTAGTGGCTTTAGAGCAGGATTAGCTCCTCTCTGCTGAAAAGAGCACAAAAGGCGTGCGCTGGGAGCAAAGATTTCCTTAACAAAGGGAAATCCAAGGGCACAATGGTGCCTCTATCCCTTCTGTCACCTGCACAGGGGCTGAGGTGGCTTTTCCCGAGGAAAGGCGGCTTTTTTCCCAAGGAAGGAAGGAGCACAGCCCGGGGGAGCTGCTCCCGCCAGCCCCTCCATTTCATGGCCTGCTCCCAATTCCCATCCCATCCCAATTCCCACCTGCTCCTGCTGTTTTGGCTGGCAAAGAAGATGGAGAAGAGCAAAAAAAAAAGCCATTGTTTGCCCAACAGGCACCACCCTGGGAAGGGGTGAGGACCATCCAGGCTCCTCCCAAGCCTCGAGGTAGGTGGAAATGCCCCCAAACTCCTTGGTTTTTTGTGCAGCACATCCCTCTGGGAAGCAAAAACAAGGGGCCTGCTTCCCAAGGGAGCAGGGGAGTCATCCCTAGTCATGGAGGAAGGGGGTGGGGGTGGAAACAAAGGGGGTGTTTTGCCCCATTTTGACCCAGAGCTGTCCTTTCTGAGCCCGCCCGGGGTCTGTCACATCCCGGTGCATCCGCCCGAGCTGCAGCGTGGCAGCCATTTTAGGAATCCCTGGAAAACAGAGGGACTGCGGATGCACTCGGCACCGGGGGGGACAGGGTTGGAGGGTGGCTTTTGTTCCAGGAGGGGAGGATTTGCTCGTGTGCTCCGGTGAAAGGGATAACGGGGTTCCCCTTCCCCCCCCGAGGCAAGGGGGGGATGTTTGGGAAGTCAACTGTGCCCACACAAAGCTGCTTTTTTTGGTTTTTTTTTAGCTGTAAAAAAACCAGCAGAGTTGGCTCCTGTGGCCATTTCAGGTGTGATCAGCTGCACAATTAACCTGCTCCTAATTAAATTAGAGAATTTTTGTTCGCTCCGACGGAAGGTAAAACCACTTAAGCTCATCCAAATGGTGAATTAAGCTCGTGCAAATGGTGAATTAAGTTCGGCCCTTCCCATCATTAATTATTCCTTTTCCAGACGAGCTTTGAGCACCACAAAGTGCTGCAAGTCCAACCCCAAACCCAGTCAAGCACCAGGGATGCTGCTGGAGGAGAACCCAGCTGGAATTTGGGACAGAAAAACCACCCCAGTGACCCTCGGTTGGAGCTGTGAGCAAATAAACCCACTCCCAAAACTGTGGTGTTTTGAGTCACCTTTCCCAGAGAGAGGAGCCAGGGGGAGAATTTCAAGGCTGTTTTGTAAAATCCAAGGCAAAAGGAAAACAAACAAACAAACAAAAAAAATCCCCCCAGAAAACCAAAACCAAACCAAAACAGAAAAACAAACCACAAAAAACCCAAACCAAACCAAAACAAAAAAACCCCCCAAACATTTACAAATTAGACTAAAGCAATTTTTCAGGGAAGAGAGGGGGAAAAAAAGTAACAAAATTGGACATTTATAAAAGAAACTGATTTTGCACCGAGTAGATTCTAAACAAAACGTTTTGGTGGATGGGATTAAACACTCAACTCTCTTCCCAAACATTGTTACACCTGGAATTTTTTGTTGGGATCTACATTACTTCCAGCTGTGACTCTGAAAATGAACTGACCCCCTCACCCACCGAAGTGTCCCCTCTGAGCAGAAAGCAGGCCAGACTCACACCAACCATAGAAATGTACCAGTTTTTATTAAAAAGATTCTCAAAATTCAAAATAAACGCATCTTTAAAAAACCACAATATATTTCCCCTCCCCTTCCCCTCCCTCCCTCCCCCCCCCCCAGACACAAAGTTACACTGATCTCTTCTCTCGCTTCACATACAAACACTGAAGAGCAGGAGTGACACCCGGATCCAAAAGAGACTAAAAAACTCACGGTGGAAAAAACGGGAAGGGAGGGGGGAGGGGGGAAAGAAGCGTTTTAAAAAAATAAACCCTTTGAAAAAATAACCTGTGTTAAGTTTTTAGCAGCATTATTAGAGTTGAAACCCTCGGCAGCGCTCCCGGGGGAGGTTCCAGATCCTCCCCGAGGGCCGGAGGAATCCCCCTGAGGAAGGAGAGCAGCGAGTCGGAACTGCCTGAAAAACCAAACTTTTCCACCGAAAGCTCGGCTAATGATCAGCTGTACAAAAGGAGATGCTAAAGAAAGGGGCAGAGCCGGTCACAAAAGACCTTCGGGGGGTGAGATAATGTGTGGGAGGAGGACAAGGAGCTGTAAAGAGCGTTCAGAGCCCCATCTGCTGTTCCCTCAGGAAGGCAACAGATAAAAAAAAAAAAAAAAAAAAAAAAGGGTTCTTCGTATTTACTGGCCTTGGGAGGAAAATTCAATTTGAAAACGTTTGTAACTTCAGGTTGAAAAAAAAAAAAGAAATAGTATTTCAGTCAGTGACAACACTGAAATTCTCAGCCAGGCTGGGGGCTGGGCTGGAGAGGGATTGGGGATTTCTGCAGTGGTTTCAGCCCAGGACACGGATCAGTGCTGGGAGCCAAGGGCAGAAAAGCAGGAAAAACAAAGCCAAAGGGGCAGTAACTCACTTTCCCCCCCACAAAGAGGGGCACAGGTATAGAAAAAAAACAGGTATAAAAGCTCCATCCCTTCCCTTCCTCGAGGTGCATAATGCTGCCACACTCCCTGGATCTGCCAGATCTTGGAAAACTGAGCCACCACACACGGGGGGGTTTTCATTCTGCATTTTCCAGATCTGGGCTCTGTGGCTGATTCACTTAAAAAAGAAAAATTAATAAAAAAAAAAAAAATCACTTTTCAGGTTGTTTTTAGGCTGCTTCATCTCTTTCCACGAGTTTGCTGCAGGGAGGAACCAACTCTATTCAAGAACTGCACTATTTGACCCTGAGAAGTGGCACCAGCTTGCAGTTAACTTGCCACAGTGGAATCAAACTGAAGACCAAAGGAATAGTCTCTCACAGGCTTCAATTGGGAACACCACCAAAAAAAAAAGAAAAAAAAAAAAAAAGAATAAAAAACCAAACAAAAAGAATTCATGGCCATCTTTCCACCTAACCTGAAATGCAGATACTACTTCTACTTAAATTATTCTTTTCCAAGGTTATTTCAGAGGAGAGAGTGAAGGAAGTGATTTTTTTTGTTTGTTTGTTTGTTTTTTGTTTACAGACACGCTAAGGAGGCAGTGGAAGGCAAGAGTGAAAACTTCCCAGTCACCAAATCTGGGCAGTGCAGGTCTGGCTGCTCCGCAGAATCCTCCCCTCTGCTCCCAGCGAGGAGTGCAGCAAGGAATAATTTACAGTCCTCAAGTCATTTATACAATTATATAGAAATATATACAGAAACATATATAAAATATAAATCCTGTGGAATAGGAGGCAACCCGGGAGCTAAAAACCTACGACAAACTACGCACGGACAGGCCCGTCCAGCTCAGGTGGATTTTGGCTCTTCCTTCGCCCTGGGGAAGCAAGAAGGGAAGGATTTGGTTTAAACAGGCAGCTTGAGCTGTGTCCAGGCTCTAACAACAAGCCAGAGCTGCAGCCTTAAAAGTGCTGCTCATCTGGCCCATCTTCAGCTAAAATTTATAACGGAGGTGCAGTGTTTTGATTTTGATTTTTCAAGCAGCATTTTTGAGCCCTGAGAAGGCTCTCACAGCGTTTTATCAGGTGGGCTGCTCAACACCTGCAAACTTCTGCCCGTTCAGAACCTGTGACAAAGCCAGCCAAGCTGCCACATCACCCCCTCAACCCTCCCAGCAGATTCCAGACTCACCCTTTGGGTTCTGCTTTCTCCTCTTTCGCTTTTTCCTCTTCCTTCTCATCTAGGAAAAAACAAAGACACACGGCAGTGCAGTGGGAAAGTACCAGCCAGGCAGAGCTCCAGGTCCCAGCTCTCCTGCTCACCTTTTTTCTCCTCTTCCTCCTTTTCCTCCTCTGCCTTCACACGCTTGGCTTTCTTAAAGTTGGCGACGTTTTTGCGCCCTCCTTCCCCTTCGTCCTCTGAGTCGGAGAATTCCTCATCACAGGATATTCTCTTGTTGGAATTGCGGACTGAGTGTGAAGAGGACAGAGGTTGGTTGAATAGATTTACAAGTCAGGAGGCTCCAGGCACTAATTCTCTGGGTACATCTACTCACTGGAGTGAACTGAGGAGCCTACCTAAGTCAGGATTAGGCCACGATAAAAACACTGTACCTGCTGCATCTTTTAACTCATCCCTCCTCACTGCTCATGCCCAGGATCCAAGATCACATGGACAACTTGGATTAGGTACAGTGTGATGTCTAGACTTGACAGCATAAGCAGGTTAACCAGCCTCCCACTGAGAAATCTGTCTGCCAGATCCTAAAGGCCAATCTGGCTACAAACCACCATTTCCACCGTGGAAGACACTTCTGGCATCACACCTGACAGTCTCCCAGAAAGGGTTCTGTCCCAGCACCTACATCCCAGGAACTGCTTGAGCTCTCACATTAAAGTCTAGAGTTTCTCCACTATGGAAATCATCTGGCAAAGGGTGCAGTGCTCAGCATCACTGCTTCATCTTACGAAACACAAAACGGATTCAAACCGAGACTCCAGAACCGGGCAGATCTAAATCCTATACCCTCCTCCTCCTCCTCCTCCTCCTGCAGCTCAGGGCTCTTTGGCACCCAGCCAGACACAAGCACGTACTTGAAATGCGTTTCTCAGGGTCATCTTCCTCTTCATCTCCGCTGTCCTCCTGAACAGCATCCTCGGGGATGGGCTGCATCTGCACCCCGGGGGCGTGCGGGAGCATGCGCAGGTTCTCGAAGAGGCGCTGCCTGGAGCCACCCAGGGAAGGAACACCTCGGTCAGCAGGTGCCTCCCTGGAGGTCCCAGGGAAGGGCCAGTCCCCAGGAGGAGCAACCACTTACTTGATCTTCTCGAGGTACTCGTTGGTGTTCTGGTTGGTCATGTTCGAGGGGCTGATGTGGAGCTTGAAGTCTGGCCCGAAGTACTCGAAATAGTCGTTGTATGGAAGCTCTGCGGGCAAATGAAAAGGAATAAACACCAAGCCACCACCGGAATGGAAACTGGAACAGCTACAGCAAATCAGGGCATCCAAAAGCTCTCCCACAGAAACAACCGAGAGGTAACAAAAGCAATCTTGGCATTCCTGCCTCTGCCCCAGCAACACCTCTTCCCTGAGCTGTTCCAGAATGCCACTGGCCCTCAGTCTGGGAGAATTACCATTGGGAATTTCGGTGTCCAAAGCCACAGCAGTCTCATAGGTCCAGCACCTGGCCACGTTCCTGATGGTGTAGCCGCCCCCTCCCAGCATCAGCATGGGCAAGTTAAAACTTTTCACAAACTCCACACACTTGGCATGACCTGCAGAAAAAGCAGTGGGGGGGGGAGGAAAGATCACACTCATGGCATAAGAACACACTTTTCCATGGAATCTCAGTGATGCCAGCTCAGCACAGGCACTGTGTGCTCCTACCTTTGATGGTGAGGTTGAAGCAGCCCAGCCTGTCCCCGGAGAGGGAATCTGATCCGCACTGCAGGACAACAGCACTCGGCTGGAATGTCTCCATGACTTTGGAGATCACCTAAACAACAAACCCCTTGTTACACGCTCTGCACAGGACACTGTCACAGCAGCACAGTGACACCCATGTCAGCCAGGGCCACGAAGACATCCCTGGTGCTCCCACAGCTGCTGATTCCCCTGTCCTGGAACACTGGGGCTCTCACGCGCTGGAGCTCCCGGACAGGCCGCGATTGTTCGGGGGGAATAGAGCCCCTGGTGAGGCTCAGCACAGAAAACCCAATCAGCCTCCCCAAAGAATGGCTCCAGGGACAAAGTGTGGCCCACTGAGCGAGGAGGAGTTCACTTACAGGCTTGAATATGGCTTCATAGGACTCGTCGTCGATGCCGTCCCGGAGGGGATAGTTCACAGCGTAGTACTTGCCTTTGCCTGCACCAATGTCCTGTTGGAGGGAGAGAGGAGAGACCACAGCTCACCAGAAGTCCAGCTGGAACACCGAAACTGTGCTCCAAACTGGGAAGGGAAGCCTGGAATTCCAGCAGTGTCATCCCAATATTAAGCCCAGCCCGCAGTCCCAGTCTGGGCTGACCATGTCACTGCTTTAAAATGATATATATTTTCATTTCTATTATCACTCTCATGCCCGGGTGTCTTATTAAAAATAACTTGTTAAAAATAATTAGTTCGTTCCTGGTGCACAGTGGCTGCACCAGGATAAAAATGCTGCAGCTGCATCAGCAACAAACTCTGGGCAGGGCTGAAAAAAACACAACTCACGGGTGAAAGGCAGGAGAACTTAGATCAGAAAAATGTAATTCCACTAGAAAAGCACATAAAAAGAGGTAAAGAACCCTTCACCCCTGAGAAATGGGGCGTGGAAGTGCCAGAAGTCACAGAGGGACACCTGGATCTACCTGAGTGACACAGTTACCACCAGGACTCATTAACACAAAGAGCTGAGTTACAGGAAGAAATGCCAACAGGATAAATCCACTCAGAAACCCTCCCCCAAGAGCCTGGGTGACCAAGCAGCTACAGGTGACCAACACACCATTTTCAGAGCCCCTTTTCTCAGCAAAATAATGGTGACACCAAAGGCTTGGGTTCAATACTCGACCCCAGGCACAAAGCTCCCACTCCAGCAGCTGAACCTACACCTCTGCCCTCGGGAAAAGGGTGTCACTGTGAGAGCAGGAACACCCAGGAGAGCAGTGGCAGATGGAAAAGGGCAAATTCCAGGGCAATTTTCAGCCAGGCCTTCAGTCTCACCCGCAGGTCCCCTGTTCCTGGGAAGTATTCCCCGTACTTATGGAAGGACACGGTCATGACACGGTCCGTGGTGTAAAAGGCCTCCTCCACACCATCCCCGTGGTGAATGTCGATGTCGATGTACAGCACCCTCTGGTGATACCTGGGGGGCACAAAGGAGCCAGGGTATTCCATTTATTCAGAGTAAAGACTGCCTTCCCCAGCAGAAAAAACGAGAACAAGGGAATCTGGGGCTGGTTCCCAGGCTCCACAAGGGAAAGAGCTGCAGAGGAGGGACACACGCCTTGGTCAGCGGTGGAACAGACCCACAGAGGAAAATAAAGTGCCTTTTGCTGCTGAGGGCAGACTCAGCTCAGTTTATTCAGCTCCAGCCAATAAACTGCTTTTTTATGCCCAAGCCTCCCACTGAGGTCTGCCCTGAGCCAGGAGCTGTCACACGTGCCAGCTGTGCCCTCTTTTCCAGGGTGGGTGGCAGAGGGAAGGGACAAAGGGCACCGGCACAACGCTCCAGAAGCCTCTGCTCCCTGCACGGTGGATAACACAGACACCCCTGGAGGAGACACCCCAAAAGCTGACTCAGCCCTTCCTGGGAAAACACAGCTCCAAAAAGGCACCAAGAAGGCAAGGCTGGGAAGGAGGAGATGGGGCAGGAGGGGCAGACAGAGGGGTAGATGGTGCTGTCCTTACTTCAGGAGCTCCAGGATGGCCAAGACGATGTCGTTGACGTAACAGAAGCCAGAAGCCTCCGACTTCTTGGCGTGGTGGAGGCCTCCTGCCCAGTTCACTGCAATGTCTGTCTGCTGCTTGTTCAGCTTCACTGCACTGGCTGGGGGGGGACAGTGAGAGAAGGTAAAAACCAGAGCAAAGGGGTTGTGGCAGGGACGGGCCCTTCCCACGGCGCTGCTCGGGGGGGGGTTTGGGTCCTGCACAGAGCACGAGGGTTTAACACTGGATGTGTCCCCAGACTGACAAAGGGCAAAGGAAGGGAAGGGGGAAAAGGGGAAAGGGAGAAAAAAGAGGGAGAAGGAAGAAAGAGGAAAAAGGGGAAAAAGGGGGGAAAAAGGGGAAAGGGGGGAAAAAAGGTTAAGGGGAAAAAAGGGGGAAAGGGGAGAAAAAGGGGGAAAGGAGGAAAAAAGAGGGAAAGAGGAAAAAAAAGGGGAAGGGGGAAAAAAAGGGGAAGGGGGAAAAAAAGGGGAAGGGGAAAAAAAGGGGAAGAGAAGGGGGAAGAGAAGGGGGAAGAGAAGGGGGAAGAGAAGGGGGAAGAAAAGGGGGAAGAGAAGGGGGAAGAGAAGGGGGAAGAGAAGGGGGAAGAGAAGGGGGAAGAAAAGGGGGAAGAAAAGGGGGAAGAAAAGGGGGAAGAAAAGGGGGAAGAAAAGGGGGAAGAAAAGGGGGAAGAAAAGGGGGAAGAAAAGGGGGAAGGAGGAAGAAAAGGGGGAAGAGGGAATGCAGGTTCTGCTCTATCTGCACACATTCATTGCTTCCCATCTTTGCCTCAGAGCAAACAATGTGCCCAAACAAGTGCCCAGCTGTGGTCCCACTGAACACACCCCGGATTTCTCAGTGCCCCCAACAGAAGGCTTTGATGAAAGGTTTTATCCAACACCTCTTCAGCTGAACGTGCATTTAGGCAAAGGAAGTTCCCTTCCCTCAGCCCCCTCTGTAAACTCCCTGTGCAAGTCTGCCAGGATCAAAGCAAACGACCTGTTCCGTGGAATCTCCAGCCCTGGGACCAGAGAGCTCAGAGCTGCTCCAAAAACCACACTGCAGGCAGTGGCTGTGGGTGCTGCTGCACCACGTCACAGGAAACAACAGACCTGGAGGTGTCACTGTGATGTAGCAGCCACAGAGCTCTGTAGCACAATAACACCTGCCTGTCTGCAACTGTGAGAGCTGTGAAAGCATTTCAGTGTTCCAGCTCTGAGGGAACTCACTGAAACCCCTCAGCTCCTTGTTCATGTTCAGGCTTTTTGTTACAACCAACAGATAAAGCAACCCTGTTCTTTCCTCTCCAGGTTATCCCTGCCCACAGCAAGGTTTTAACAACTTTTTTTTTAATGTAAAGCAGCTCATGTTTGGTTTGTTTGTTGTTTTTTTTTTTTTTAATTAAATGCTGTTGCTGTGGTTTTGGTTTAACTCTACCACTGGTGATGCTGTTACACCACTTAAAGAGCCCTTCACACACTCAGTGAGGAAACCCAGACTAAAATGGAGAGGGATACATCAATATGCAGAGCTTGGGCTCACACGGGGAGAAATCTGGATCTAATTATTAAGGAAATCAGAAATAGGTTCACAGAGCTTCCCCAGCACCCCCTACAGCAATGTGTTTCCTGGACAGAACCACACAAAATGCATTTGCTTAAAAGGGAGAGAGCACACGACTTGTGATCTTACCCACAGAGCCTCCAGCAGAGAGCTGACAGAACTCAAACAGCCCATCAAACACAGGGCAGTCCTCCCCAACGTTAACTAGAAAAGAGAATAAAACAATTAGTGAGGTAAACCCACAAAAAAACCCCAAGCTTATATCACCACTCAGATTAGAAAGGCAAAGTGGACGAGTGACCAACATCAGCCAGTTTTTAGGTTCTCAGCAGAACTGCAGTTCTACCCTTGGCAAATTTCTGCTGGAACCACTTCCACTATTAAAAATAAAAAAAAAAAACCAGCAGCAGGTTTGTGCCTAATCCAGATTTGGCAAGGTTTGATTTTACGAACGGGAAACAAAAGTAAACCTGTATTTTTTTGTAACAACATCCGTGGAGTGTTTCCTCCTGTGCTTAACGAGAAAGGCACGAGCAGCACGAGGTGGAAAGTCATCTCCACAAAGGCTGGGTGAGGAGGGAGCCCCAATGCTCCCAGCTGGGGACAGGGACACCCAGAAGGAAGTGACTGTTCCCACTTTCCAGTTGTTTCAGCAGGGCAGAGTTTGGATAATCAGCTTGCAGAGGTGGCTGGAAACCTCCTCTGTTGAGTGAGGAGAATTTAAGTCACCGATTTCTGTGCGTTTCCCACCACAAGAAATTAAACCTGGTGCCCCTTTGGGTTACCCTGCCCAAGCCTGGCATCAGCAGAATCAGTTCATCCCCTTCACAGCTGCTCTCCAGCTACACAGAGGCTGCTCCTCTGCAGGGTTTGCTGAAGAAAAGCTCTGTCCTTGTGTCTTTAAGATGATTTTTCACATTTTGCCTTAGTTCTGGGGAAGTCACAGAGCAGAAAAACGTTGTCTGCCAGAGAGAGCAGTGTGTTCATGAGCTGTATCTGCTCCAGGGGTAAACAGGTCACTTTGGGGAAATATGCACTTTGCTATATGTCATTTGGTGTATTAAGGAATATCATGGACTGTAGGGAGTATATCACTCATATACCACATTACCCCCCTTCCTCTTATGTGCTTGGGTCTTAATATCTGTCCCCTTCAGCTCACACCAGGTTTCCAAGACCAAAATACTGTTTAAATGAAGCTTGAGCCTCCCCCACTCTGTCTGTATTTCCTAAAAATCTAGTTTGCTGCAGCCCCTGCCAAAAAAAACGTGAGCTCAAAGCTGCAGGGAGACCAAAACCAGGTCCCTGTAACCTTAAAATCACCATTAAAGAGCCTTTCCATGGGCTGGAGGGGTTAGAACAAGACATCAGCTCACAATAAACCATCCTGACACAAAGCTGCCAGGTATTAACGTGGATCTCAACCCTTCCAAACTGCCCTGAGAACCCTTCAGAGTTACTGCAGGTTTGGAGGATAATTGAGGAGAAAGGGGTTTTTTAGTTTGTTTGTTTGATTTACCCAACTCTTTCCCACCTCTGGTTGAAGACAAGCACATTAACTCAAAATCCATGCAGCTCATAAATGGAGCTGGTCAGTCACCTCTGAGCCAGGAAGGGAATTTTTTAGGAGAGTTCCCATCAAAATACAACACAAAAACAAAGACAGGTAGGTCAAAGGGTTTTGGTTTTTTTTGCTTTTTGGCTTGAGCCATCTTTAAAATGACTGATCTGCCAGAAAAATCAAAAGGGAAGTCAGGAGAAAGACAATTTCCCCCTGGTTCTCCCTGCTCTTTTTTATCCCAAACCTCCACAACAGGCCTCGGATTCCCCAGATCCATGGGGTGTTTTTTTTTTAACCTTGGCAGGACCTGCAGCCCAACTCACATCTTTGCATCTGCTTGCTGTACTCAGACATGTTGTCAGGGCGGATGGACCTCAGGAATTTGATGTAGTCATCACTGTGGTACTTGGTCATCTCCTCTGCATTTGCCTTGTGAGGACGCTGCGAGGACAGAAAAAGAAAAAAAAAATAAATTCCCCCTTTCCAATCCCAGATTTACTCCCAGGAACTACAAAAAAAAAAAAAAGAAGTATCAAACCAGCAGCGTTAAACAAGAGAAACTCGCTTTCTTTGGAAATGCCACTACTGGAGTGTGTCACATATGCAGAAACACAACATAAATTTAATTTGCAAGGGGAAAAAAAAGCAGCTTTCCAGTCTCCAAAGCTCCTCTGAAGCACAGAACATCTCTCTACAACACTCAGAAAAAAAACCAGAAATACATCAGCACAACCGTTAAGGGTTTGTTTATTTTTTTCCTCAGCAAGTCTGAAGCCCCACAGTTAAAACCTGACACATCAACTATGACCTTTCACAACTATTTCCCTCGATGAGCAGCCCCACAACTCACATAGATCTCCATCTTCCTGTAGAGGCCGTAGTTCAGCAGCAGGTTGTGGGTCATCCGGATCCTGTGGGGTTTCATGGGATGTCCTTGGCCATAATAGTAGTTCCCAACGTCCCCTGGGAGCAGAAAGGGGGTTGTTACAGCAGGGAAAAATCCCCCATTCCTTCCAAGGGAACCCCAACCAAGCCAGCAGGTCATCTGTCATTCATCTGTCCCTCGGAGGGGATGGGGTGTCCCCTCTTCTTTGCACAGGGATCTCCAGGGATTCAGAAAAGTTTATCCTGGATTCAAGTGGAAATTTAGGTAGGGAGTTTTTAATGCTGGTTCTGGAGAAGCCAATCCAGGCAGAGTCTGAGCCACAAACATCACACTGTGCAGGTGGAAGGTGTCCCTGCCCGTGGCAGGGGGTTGGAATTACATCACCTTTAAGGTCCCTTCCATCCCAAATCACTCCACGGTCCTGTAAGTCCAGAGGAGGCAGCTCCAGGTCTGGACCAGAGGAGTTCTGGGCAGCTGTGCTGACTCAGCACAGGAAAACCCCTCACACTTCAGGACTCCCAGGTTTCCTTGAGCAGGATCCACATGGGATTTTAATCCCAGCTCAGACAGTGCCTCACCCCAGGCAACAGCCTCTGCCTCACTTTCTCACTAATTGCCCCAGCGAAACGAGACCCAGGGCAGGTCCCTCTGGCACCAGCCCAGCCCTGCTCCGACACCTTCTCAACCCTTTCCACCCTTTTTTTTTTATTCCTTGCAATCCTCCAGAGGAATCCCAGGCCTTCCCTGCCACCCTCAGGGACACCAAGGCAACAAAGTCACCTTCCTGCAAGTTCATCTCCCCACAGGGATTGTCTCCTCCCCAGCCAAAGCCCAGCTCACGTTTCCCTCCCCCCGCTGCTCAATGGCTGAGGTTGGGTGGGGTTTTTTTTCCCCCCTCCTTTCCCAAGGAACTTAATTTTCCTGAAATGTACAGAAATTTAACTTTCAGATGGGTGCCTCCTGCCTGATTTGGCTGCAGCAGGCCCAGATCAAACGCTGCCAGGAGCAGGAAACGCTCAGGCAGCAGCAGGAACGTCTCCCAAGCCTCATTTCCTTGGGAAACCAGACGAAGTTGTTCATGGAGTTGTACAACTCCTGCTCCGTTTAGGAAGGCAGGAGACTCAATCCAGTCTGGCTGGTGACTCAGTTGGGAGAATTAATATTTCATCACCCAATCTCAACATTCAGGAGAAGCTGCTGCTTCCCCACAGCACCGGAGCTCTTCCCTCCTGTGGACGTGGATCTATTTTCAGTCAAAGTGGATGCAAATGGTGCAAATCCCACGCCCAGACAACTCTGCTGCTGGAATTTTTACCTGTCTCTGGGGCTGCAGGGAAATGGGGCGTTGTGCTCTTTCAGTACAACTTCAGAAAGCAGAATTATTTCCGGTAAAATGCGTCTTTTTACTGAAAATAATTCCGTTTTCTGAAACGTATGAAGGTGTTTTACCAGAGTAACCATCCCTACAGTAAAACATATCCCTAAAACTGTCCCTAAATCAAGCTTGGGGGAACTTAATACGAGATGTTTGTGACCCTAGATAGAAAATACAACCACAAAACTTCATGAAGCTTTAAAAAAATCAGCATCCTCTTCACCTCAGGCTGTCAGTGGAATGCCCTGGGCCAACCCTGACCTCCAGAGCCTGTTCCCTGTGCTGGCACATCCCACCAGGAATCCTGTGGAGCCCTGGACGAGTGTCAGAGCAGATTAAGAGACTGTGAACTCCACAGACACCTCTTCACCTGCTGGGGTTACACAAGTCCCTTCACGAGGAGCTTATAATGGAGAAATTACATCCAAACCCTTCCAAAAAAAGACCCTTTGGACACCTGATCACCTTTTCCCCACCCTCTGCATCCCACACTCCTCCTCCACCTGAAATTTAGGGCTCGAGGGACCCAAACCATCCCCCGGTGTGGAATTATCCCAGCACATCCAACCTTCCCTGCGTGGAAAACAAAAGCCCCAAAGCACAAGTGACCTCCTGGCCACCACTGCAGGTTGTGCCTCTGCCCCACAACAACAGCCACGCTGTGGATGTTTGTCAGCTGCTCAGAAAAGAGCAGTGAGGGAGGAAAGAAAAAAAAAAAAAAAGGCACTGAAACCTTCGCCAGGGTGTAAATTAGGGAGGGCAGCTCCAGACGAGAGTGTGGGACCTGAGCTTGTGCAGCAAAGACCTCAGGGGAGGCAGCTCTGCTCAGCATTTCGCACCAAACGACCGGTTATTTTGTATTTAAGGCATAATTACGTGCCTGCAAAGATTTATGGTTTGCTCCCAGCCCAGCAGGCTGCTCTGTGAGCACGTTATATCCCAAAGAGAGGGGTGGATTTCGTGGAATCACAGGATGGTTTGGGTTGGGGGGGAACTTGAAGAGCACCCAGTGCCACCCCCTGCCATGGGCAGGGACATCTTTTACTATCCCAGGTTGCTCCAACGTGGCCTTGGACATTCCCAGGGATGGGGCAGCCACAGTTTCTCTGGGAAATCCATTCCAGCCCCTCACCACCTTCACAGGGAGGGATTTCCCCCCAGTATCCCATCTGACCCTGACCTCCTACAAACTGAGGCTAAATTTGGACACGGAGACTGGTTTTTTTTCCCAACCTGCTGTGCCACTCTGGCACTCCTTGAGTTCAAACCAGGCATTTTAGGGCCCAAAGGCTCCCCCTGGCATTTTTGGAAGGCTGGTGTTGCCCAGGGAGCAGTTGTGTGGTGAAACTGGGCTCGATTTCACTTCACCCACAGCTCTAACCCTGCCTCTTCCTTGCCCTGCCCTTCCAAAGGCACTGAGTCAGTGACCCAGTACAGGTTGCAAACCTCCCATTTGACTTTTCCAGAGCAATAAAACCCCTCCCCACACGCCTGACACAGTCATTTGGAGGAGCCCCCTCCACGGGGGCACGTCCACTTAGGAGGAAAAAAGCAGCAAGAACAAGTTTTTATTTGATTTCAGACCCAAAACCACGATGAAATAGAGAATTGCACAACACCTCTCACACTGAGGGAGCAGAGTCTATAAAAAAACTGAGCCTGCCCATCACCAAAGGGGAGGGGGCTGTGAAGGCACAGGGGTGGCAGGATTGGGATTTCTCCCCCAGCCTGTGGGGTGGATGAGGGATCTGGGCAGCCCTAACACCCTGTTATTCCCTGCTCCAAAGGGATGGTTACACAGCCCCAAAGCAGCGCCTCAGAACCAAAGTGAGCCACCCCACAACCCAGCACATCCAGAGCCAGAACTAGAGGATGCTCCTGGCCACAGGAGCTCCCTGCAAACAGCCATGGCCACTCTGGCTCCCAGAGCCTTTGGGTTTGTTCCCTCTTGACACCAGGAGTGCCTCTTCCTCTGACGTGGCTCCAGGAGGATTCACCTCCCTGCGCTCCCCAAAATCCTTCTCCAGCACCTCAGCACAGCTCCCAAAGCCTCTCTCAGCCTGGTGCCCCTCTCTCCACTCCAGACCCCCCTCAGCCTTTCCTGCAAACTCCTCAGACTCCCACACCCTGCCCCACCCCAGCCCCCATCTCCCCCCAGTCCTGCTCCCCTACTTCCCCCCACTCTTCCCACTCTCCCCTCCAGTGCTCCCCACACCCCAGCCATGCTCCCCCACACCCCTCCCATGCCCCCCGGTGCCCCCAGCCCCAAAGAGGACCCCCCATAACCCAGCTCATGCTCCCCTGACCCACATATCCCTATTGCTCCCCCAGCCCTCAGTGACCCCAATCTCCCTCCCTGCACCCCCACAGCGACCCCACTACCCCTCCCACCACCCCCAGGGCAGCCCCACCGCGTTTCCCAGTGACCTACCCCAACACTTACCCCCTCCAGAGCATCCCCCACCTCCACGTCCTCCAGTGACCCCCATCCCCAAACCCTCACCTGCATCCCCAGTGACCCCCAGCAACCCCCAGTGACCCCCAATACCCCCCAGCACCCTCCCGTGACCCCCATTACCTCCCCAGTGACTCCCACTATACCCCCATTACCCCCAGCATCCTCCAGCACCCCCCCGTGACCCCCATTACTCCCCCAGACAATCCCTCACCCCATCCCCAGTGACCCCCATAGCCCCTCAGTGACTCCCATTCCCCCCAGTGACCCCCAATGCCCCCCTAGTGACTTCCCATTACACCCCAGTGATCCCATTACACCCCTGTAAACCCCACTCCCCACCCCAGTGACCCCCAATCCCCCCCCAGTGACCCCTAGCGCCCCCATTACCCCCCCAGTGACCCCATTACCTCGCCAGTGACCCCTTTACCCCCTCAGTGACGCCTATTACTCCCCCAGTAAACCCAACACTCCCACCCCAGTGACTCCCATCACCCCCCCCAGCGACCCCAGTTCCTCCCCAGCCCCCCCTCACTCCCACCCCCACTGCCCCCCTCGCCCCGTATTGCCCCCCCTCGCCCCCTACTGCCCTCCTCTCCCTTCCCGCCTGCCCCGCTCTCCCCGCTGCCCCCTCCCGCCCCTCTCCCCTCACCATCGTAGTAGTAGCAGACTTTGCGCTTCGTTCCCTGCGTCAGCGCCATTTTCCTGCCTCCCCTCAGCGCCCGCCGCCGCCCCGCGCACCCAACCCCGCCCGCCCCGGCCCCGCCGCCCTGCCCCCCGCTCCGCCCCGCCCAATCGCCGCGCGCCGGCCCCGCCCGCCGACCAATCGCGAGGCCGCAGCGCCACCCAGCAGGTTAGGCGGTACCTGGGCCGTACCACTGCGGAGGGGGGGCGCGGGGGGGGGGCTGCACCATCGCGGGGGGGGGGGGCAAAGGAGGAGGGGGTCAGGGTGGGTGGGGCGGAACCATTAGATTTTGGGGGGGGCAGATGGGGATGAACCATCGCGGGGGAAGGGGGGCACGGGGCCCCCCCAGCAGCCCCCCCCTCAGGACCGAGGGGTCTCACGGGGGTCAGCGGTGTCTGGGGGGGGTCGAGCAGCCCCCCCAGAATCGGGTTGTCCCATGTGGATGGGGCTGGGGGGGATGTCTCGCGGGGGTCGGGGGGGTCCAGCAGCCCCCCCCCCAAGGTCGGGTTGTTCCATGTGGATGGGGTTGGGGGGGTCTCACGGGGGTCAGGAGGATTTCGGGGGGTCCAGCAGCCCCCTCAGGGTGGGTTGGTGAGGGTGGGATTCGTCTCTGGTGGGTGTCACCCAGTGGGGTCCATCCCTGGTGGGCATCACCCCCTGTACCCCATCCCATGGCAGCCTGGCCCCGCTGCTGAAAAGGCCTTTATTTCCCCCAAAATGGGTCCTGCAAATGCCATGGGGGGGGGGGGGGGAGAAGAAGGAGCATCCCACGGCCAAGGGATGCCTCAGCCATCGCTGTTGGGGGGGTTCCTGCCCTCACCAGGGAGGTGGAGGAGGCACAGCCAGAGCAGGGCAAGGGGCTGCTGGGCCCCCTGGGCAGCTCCATGTGCAGCTGGAGGCTGGATTTCCACCCTGGAAAAACGTGGTGGGCACCCACCGAGCCCCCCGTGCCAGCCCGATGCCGCTGGGGGTCTGCCCTGGCCGTCCATCCCCTCCTGAGGGGGGTGAAATCTGCCGCTCCCAAAGTCTGGAGCGCTCCAAATCTTTACTGCCGAGGTCCAGGGGAGAGTCCACCAACACTGTGATGCTCATGGAGTCTGGGGGGGTTTGACGCAGAGGACCACTCCCAGCACCCCAACACGGGGGAGTGGGTCCTGTGGCCCTTCAGGGCTCCTGCTGGTACTGGCCCTCGGTGGCGGTGAAGAAGTCCTCGAGCACACTCTTCATGTACTCGAAGGTGGGGCGCTCCTCGGGGCTCTCCTTCCAGCACTGCCTCATCAGCTCGTACAGCTCCGCGGGGCAGTTGTCCGGCTGCGGCATCCGGTACCCCCGCTCCAGGTTCTGGATCACCTCGGGGTTGGTCATCCCTGCCGGGGCGACGCGTGGGACTCAGTTTGGGTCACCCCCCTGTCACAGGTACCGCCCTGGGGCTGCTCATCCCTGCCTGGACATTGCTTGTGGGTCTCAATTTGGGGTCCCCCCCCACATTGTAGGGACCACCCCAGGGCTGGTCATCCCTGCCAGGACAATGCACAGGACTCAGTTTGGGTCACCCCCATGTCACAGGTTGGTCATCCCCTCCTGGACACACACAGGACATCAAATTGGGGTCACCCCCATGTCACAGGTTGGTCATCCCCTCCTGGACACGCAGAGGACACTGAATTGGGGTCACCCCCATGTCACAGGTACCACTCTGGGGATGGTCACCCCTGCCAGGACATGCACAGGACATCAAATTGGGGTCACCCCCATGTCACAGGTACTACTCTGGGGTTGGTCATCCCCTCCTGGACACACACAGGACATCAAATTGGGGTCACCCCCATGTCACAGGTACTACTCTGGGGTTGGTCATCCCCTCCTGGACACACACAGGACACCGAATTGGGGTCACCCCCATGTCACAGGTCCCACCCCAAACCCCCTGGGGAAGTTTCCACCCCCTTCCACCGCCTCCAAACGCCCCTCCAGGTGTCTTTTGGGGATGTGCCTCGGGAAGGGGTTGGATCCCTGGCTGCGGAGGAGGGCAGGGAGCCAGGCTGGGAGCGTGTGTGCGTGCGGGAGTGCATGTCCACACTCGTGGGCGTGCGCTCGCGTGTGCCAGCCCCGCTGCCACGGGAGATCCTTCCAGCTGCCGGGAAATCCTGACCTGGATACGGGATCCGGCCGTAGGTGACGATCTCGGTGAGCAGGATCCCGAAGGACCACACGTCCGACTTGATGGTGAACGTCCCGTAATTAATGGCCTCCGGCGCCGTCCACTTAATGGGGAATTTAGCCCCTGGAAAAAACAGCGGGAGGGGAGGGAATGAAGCGTCCTGGAAGAGCTGGGATCACCCCTCTGTGTTTAATCTGCCGTGAAACCCCGGGTCAGGCTCAGTCCCTGCCGATGACCTGGGTTTGGTGGCATCCAGCCCCCCCCCCGGTCCCCCACTGCTCGGCGGTGGGCTGGCACCCCTGTCCCTGCAGTAGCCACCAAAAGCAGGGTCGCGTGGGCAAACAGGGTCCTGCAGCCCCCCCCGCGCCCCCCTCCCCAACTGAGGGGAGAGAAGTGGAGGAGTAAAAAGTGTCCCTGCACCCCCCTCCCTGCTCCCCCCTCCTGCAGGTCCTGTCACTGCACCCCCCTCCTGCTCCCGGGGCACGGTGGGGACCCCCCCAGAGGACCGGGGATGGGTGGGGGTCCCTCCTGCCGTGTCCCCAAGCTCTGTGCACCCCCGGGGCAGGGCGGGGAGGAGGGGTCCCACCCTCTCGAGCCGTGTACTCGTTGTCCTCGATGAGCCGGGCCAGCCCGAAATCGGCGATTTTGCAGCACAGCGCCTCCGAGACGAGGATGTTGGCGGCCCTCAGGTCACGGTGGATGTAGTTCTTGGCCTCGATAAAGGCCATGCCTTCGGAAATCTGTAATTTGGAGAGGGGGGTTTACAATGAACAGCCCTGGCTCCGGCCCCGCAGAGCCCTCCCAGCCCCAGCCCCGTGTCCCTGCCCCCCTCACCTGCGCAGCCATGTCCAGGAGCTTGTTGATGCCGAGCTTGACTCCCTCCGAGGTCTTGAGGAAGTCCACGAGGCTGCCTGCGGGGAGGGCAGCAGGTCTGAGCAGCAAAACACACACTGCCCCCCTCCCCAGCACCTCGGGGTCGTGTGGTGGGAGGGGGTCACCAGGGCACTGTCACCCACTGCAACCCAAAATGTGGGGCTGGGAAGCTCACAGTGCCCCAGGAAGGTGGGCAGGGGAGGGTGGGCAGGAGAACACCCTTCCTGCAAGGTCCTTCTCCCCTCCTTTATCCCCGAGACAATGCAAAGGCAGAGCGTGGCAGGGATGCCAAAAGCGGCTGGAGACACATAAACCGGCACGAACAGCTGGATGGGACAGCCAGGAGCTGGAAGACTGGACTTTTGGAAGTGCCCAGGGAAGAGGTGAAGTCCCCACCCCTGGAGGTCTCCAAGCAACGACTGGATGTGGCACTCAGTGCTCTGGGCTGGGCATCGGGCACAGGCTGGACTCGATCTTGGAGGAGTTTTCCAGCCTGAATGGCCCCTTGGCCGCGTGACCACGTCTCTCCACAGCTCCCCCAGCCACCCCCACGCAGGGTGGGCAGCGCCTGGGGGGGGTCTCACCCTTCTCCATGTACTCGGTGATGATGTAGATGGGCTCCTTGGTGACCACGGCGTAGAGCCGCACCAGCCGCGGGTGCTGCAGGTTCTTCATGAGGTTGGCCTCGGCCAGGAAGGCGCTGGGGGACATGCTGCCCGCCTTCAGGCTCTTCACAGCCACCTTCGTGTGCCCGTTGTAGAAGCCTGTGGAGAGCCGGGAAGAGCAGGATGGGGAGAGGGACCCCCCCGACCCTGGGGATGGGTGGCAATGGCAGTGCCAGCCAAGCAGGCAGTGTGGGGGCTGCTGTGTGGGTCTGGAGCATCCCAAGGCAAGACTGCACGAGGAAGAGATGCTGTGGGTTGCAAAGGTCAGTGGAAGGCTGTAAAGTTTGGCTTGAAGAGGGACTCTCACACCCCGGACTGTCGCGGCGTGGCCGGAGGATTTTTGGGGCGGTCACAGCCCTGCCCTGGGCTAAAATCTGTGATCACACCTTAACCCACCAGGCAGATACCGTAACGTGTGGCTTTCGGTGACCACGAGGACAGGAGGTCACTGGGTTTTGAGCAGGAGGGGGAGCTGGGGGGGGCCAGGCAGGCCTGGCTCTGGGTGGGAACCAGGAGGGGACTTCGTGGGACAGGCAGCGCCCGTGGGAGTGAAGGCAGAGACCCCTCTTTAGTGAGGGGGAGGAGCAGGGCAGCCCCAGTGCCTTCCCCACCTCAGCACTCAGCAGCAGGAGGTGCTTTTATGGCTGGATCACCACACTCTCAAGGCCCCGTGCTGCCTCCAAGCCCCCCACTGTTCCCAGAATTCCAGCCAGAGCCACAGCAAGGGACATTTCCCAAGTGGGGACAAAGCCAGCAGCTGTTCCCATCACGAGCAGAGCCCAGCTCCACGAGGACAGGACTCCTGTCATTCCATCCTGGGTGGCTGGGATGGGAGAGGAGGAAGCTTGGGCTGCTCTGGGTGATCCAGAAGGATTCTCCCTTCTCCCAGAACCCCTGTGGAAAGCCATGAGTCCCACACCCGGGGCTGTGCTGGCTGCTCCATGAGCGATCCCAGCTGGATCCCTCCCATCCCGTGGGGCCCCAGTTTTGCCCTGACTCACTCACCCATCCAGACCTCTCCGAACTGCCCTGCTCCCAGCTTCTCCACCAGCTTCAGGGACTCCCTGGGCACCTCCCACTCGTCCTGCCACCACGGCTTCTGCGGCTTCTGCGTCCGGCAGGGTTTGCCCAGGCGGGTGCAGAGCCCGTCGGAGCTGCCTGGGGTTGGGAGAGGAATGGGGGCGTCAGGGCAGGCAGAGGCACTGGGAGCCGGGCACAGGCCGATGACTTGGCTGGGGCACATGGAGCAGCGTGTTCTGCTCATCCTATCCCATCCCATCCCATCCCATCCCATCCTGTCCCATCCTGTCCCCATCCCATCTCGTCCCATTCCCATTCTGTCCTGTCCCATCCCATGTCATCCTATCCCAGTCCCATCCCATCCTATCCCGTGCCATTGCCATTCCATTTTGTCCCATTCTGTCTAATTCTGTGCCATTCCCATTTCATCCTGTCCTATCCCATCCTGTTCCGATACCATTTCCCATCCCATCCAATCCTATCCCATCCCGCCCCATTCCTGTTCCATTCCATCCCATCCAATCCCGTCCCATCCCTCTCCCATCCTGCCCCATTCCTATTCCATTCCCATCCCATACTTATCCCATTCCATCCTGTCCTGTCCCATCCCATCTGGTCTCATCCCACCCTATTCCATTCCATCCTGTCCCATCTCACCCCCATCCCGGTTCCACCCCATCCCGCTCCATTCCCACCCCGTTCCCATCCCCCCTGGCCATCCCATACGTGTGTAGTGCTGCACCAGCTCCCTGAGGCTGCCGAAGGGGACGCGGGGGGAGATGTAGAAGCCACCGTTGTCCATGTTCCGGATCTTGTAGTGCTTCACCGTCTCCCCCTGGGTCTCATCCAGGTCCCGCACGGACAGCGAGTACGAGCCTGGGGACACGGGCACCGTGTGGGTCCCCCACAGCCCTCCCAGTGCTTCCCAGGGCCTCTCCCAGTGCGGGAAGGTACCTTTGGAGGTCTCGCTCTCCCGGATGAGGAAGGAGCCGTGCGTGTTGCCCGACGCCAGGAGCTGCCGCTCGGCGTCCTTGCGGCTGATGTTCTTGAAGAACCACCTGGGGACACAGGGATGGGGGGGGTGGTCAGGCTGTGCCTTCACCCACCAGCACTTCTGGGGTGCTCCTGGCTCCGTCCCCCTCTGCCAGGGCACGGCTCCCGCTCCATCCCTACTCACGGCTCGGGCTCCAGGCTGTTCACCAAGGCCACGAAGTTGTAGGGGATCAATCCCTCCTGGCCGGTGGTGAGCGACTGTGCCTTCCACCACTCCCCATTCCTGCAAGGACACAGCGAGGTGAGACCCCCTTCCAGCTGCCAGGACCCTGCACAGCCCCCCCTGCCAGCACAGGAGCTGTGGGGCCGTGCCAGGGTCGGTGCTGGGACGTGGTTGGCGCTCGCTCACTCCTCCAGGACACGGAGCTTCTCTCCCTTCCGCAGCCGCAGGTCCCCGTCGTGCTTGGGCTCGTAGTTGTACAGGGCCACCACCAGCTTATCTGGGGGGGCAAGGGGAGGGACAGGGTGGCAGTGGCCAGTTTGGGGGTGTCCCAACCACCCCCCACCACGGCCAGACCTCACCTTGCATGGGGGAGCACGGCGGGGACGTGGACTCGTAGGACACCAGAGGGTCTTGCGCCTCGGAGCCGTTGCGGATCAGCCTCTGCCAGGGGATGAGGAGCCTCGTGAGTCCTCACCTTCCAGGGTTTGGCCACCCCATGGCCACCTCTGGAGGCTTTTGGCCACCGGGATGGGGGTCTCTCACCCCCTCCTCACCTGGTTCTTGCTGCCGGAGTCGATGGGGTAATTGCAGTGCTCACAGATGTCGATGTTCTCGATCCAGTCCTCGTCATAGTCTGAGCTGCAGCAGCAGCCCATGGTGCCTGGGGGGGCAGAGGTGGTGAGGGGAGCCTTTACACCCCCAGGCTCCCCTCTCCTCCCGCTCCAGCACACCCCTATCCCTACATCCATCCGTCTGGCTTCCCACCTGGCATGGCCCATCCTGCACACTCCTCAGCTGAACTGGGGACATCCCCTGGCTCTCTGTCACCAGCCCTTATTTCCTCCTAATTTATTCTGGCCTCGTTAATTAAAACCACTGAAGGCAATTAGTCCCCCAGCCTGAGGCTCCCCTTTCCCACCAGTTCCTTCCCACCCTCCATCTCACCCACCTCCATCCTTCCCTTGGGCTGATCCCTCTGTTCCTCAGCCAGATAACAACCTGATCACCAATACCCCCTTAACAATTAATACACTCGTGCATGGCCCTTGTGTTTGATGACGTTTGGCTGGGCCTGGCACCCCCCAAAAGCAGCTCCTGGGGTCAAAGGTGGATGTGGGCGCTCCCCACCCACCCTGTGCTGCCTCTGATTTCCATCTCCCACGAGATCTCGGCCTCTCCCCCCACACTCACCCCCATTTCTCCTGCATCAGGGATGTCCTTAACCCCCCACCCCTGCTCCGGGGCCCCTCATCCTGTGCAGCTCACCCTGAAACATCCAGGAGGATGTTCCACTTCAACCTCGAGGACCAGCCCTGGTGACACGGAGCTGGTGCGGGGCTGTCCCCAGTGTCCCCGGCACCCTGGTGTGGGCAGGGATGTCATGAGTGTCACAAGGGCTCTGCAGAGCACCCGGGCACCTCTGGCCTTCCCGAAAATGCTGATGATGGCACAAAACCCCCATGGTTTTGGGAGCCCCACGGTGCATCGTGTGGAAACGGCGGCCCACGGCCCCGGAAAAAGCTCTTCCGCAGAATCCCCCACGCCCACACGGCTGGGACTTGTCTCCACCAGCACCTGGCCTCCAAACCCTGCTCGCCAGGCTCAGCTCTGGGGGCTCTCTGGGGGCCCTGGCGTGGTTTCCACGGGCTCTGGGAGCCCCGAGTCACCACGAGCCAGCCTGGGTGTGTCTGTCCCACCACCCCAAAACCGGCGGCCGCTGCGCCGGTGCTGAGTGGGAGCTCTGATCTGGCAGTGAGTGGCATGGCTGGGAGGGTCCCCATCCTCTCCTGGTGCCCTGCTGAGCTCTGGGAGATACTTTCCTGGGAGAGAGACTAGCTGCTGGCACTGCTGGCACCACTTTGGCCTTGCCATAAATCCATCTCTTTCCATGCTGGGGGCTTCATTTGAGTGGGCACGTAGGGAAGAGGCTTACAGGGGGTCCCCAGGGAGGGTGCAGGGTCCCCGGGGTGCTGCTAGCCCCCTGTGCCACCAGCCTCAGCCAGAGGATGCTGCCAGTCAGAGCCCCCCCAGCCTGCACTGCCAGGGCTGGTTTTCCAGACCAGGAGCCCCCTCCCTTGGGTTCAGGGTCAGCAGGGACACAGGGACCATCCCCACGGTGCCACCTCGGGGTGCCCACCACCAAGGGGAGCGGGTGACTGGCAGTTTTGGTGAGGAGAACACAGGTGACTGACCCCTCCCTTCCCCCCAAGCCATACAACACTGCTAAAAACCACCCTGGTGCCTTCTGGTGACCCCATCTGGGGACTCACCTTGGCACCCAAAAAGGGGCTCCTGCTGCAGGCAGGAGGAGCAGGCAGAGCCACAGCGATGCCCAGCAGCAGCAAAGCCCACCTCCACCCCCCCAGCACCACCCTGGCCCCGCAGAGGAGAAGCCCCCGACCCCCCAGAGCTCCCCCACAGCCCTTCAGGCACCTTTACCAAAGGAGGTGTTTTTTCCTCCCTGCACGGAGCCGGGGTGGGGAGGGAGGTGCTGCTACTGCGCCTTCTTTCTTACAGCCCCAAGCCACAGCGTAATTTCCACCAAGCAGCCGTTTCACCTGGGCCACGCCGGGGGGGAAAAAGGGGCGTTTGAAGTTGGCTTTTGGTGACTGCATCTGTGCAAACCGAATTTCTGCTGCGAAGGTGCCTGGGAGGGACGTGTAGGCGCCCCTGCCCCGTGTTCGGTGTGTCCCCTGGGAGGTATCTGTGTGTCCTACTGTGTTCCTGTCCCTGCTTTGGCTCTGGAGTGTGTTTGGACCCCCCATCTCCCTACCCTGGGCTGGCCTTTCTGCTCTGGCCAGGTTGGGTTGGTTTGGTCACGGGTGTGGGCGGGCTGAAGGCTGGGCTGACCCCATCCCTGATGCTCTTCGAGGCTCACCAGAGTGTCCCCCAGCCAGCTGTGACTCACTGGGTGTCCAGCCCTGCTCTGGCACAGCCTCACAGCGACACAAAGGATGCCGACCCCAAAGCTGCCCCTGCAGCAGGAGGGTCTTTCCACTGAGGCAGCACCAAAAATGGGTTTATCTCAATGTCTGAACCCCCAAACTGGGAAGCAAACCCCGGCAGCCCATCACTGAGCTGCTGCCCTACACCGCTCTCACCCACAGCCCTGGGGACAAAACTCCCGCTTTGCCCTGGAAATGGGGGCCTTGGGAGGAGCCCTGTGAGGGGGCCGGTGCTCCCACCCCGGGCAGGGAACGTTGAGACAGCAGCTTTCACCCCAACTGGGAGGGTACAGAGGAGTGGGGGGCACAGGCTGACTCCCCCATCCCTCACCCAGGCGCTCACATCCCCCCACCACTCACTACAAGCCCAAACCTCCATTTCCACCCCTCCGAGGGGCACTCGGAGAGCACACAGACCCCCCGCTGTCCCGGCGGTCCCCATCTCCCATCTCTGCTCTTACCTGTTGGCAGGAGGTGATGCCCGGCCCCTCTCAGACCCCCATTCCCTGGCAGGGTCCCCTCCTCACGTTCTGCCCATCCCGCCGGGGGCGCGGGGACCCTGCGGGGCGCGGCGCGGAGCCCCCCCGAGGCGCGGGCCGTGCTCCCCGAGGGCGCTCTCGCTCCTGCTCCTGCTCCCGCCTGCCCCGGTTCATTTCCTGCCTCATGAGCAAACTCTCGAGCAGCTCGTTCACAGCTCGTGCCCGACCGCAAGAGCGAGCGACAAACCCCGAGGGCTTCCTGCCATCCCCGCCGAGAGGGTCCCGGCGCTGGCTGTCCCCTCGCCCGGGGCGTGCTGAGACCCTCGGTGGTGACTGTGGGGTCCCACGGGGCGGGAAAAGGGTCAGGGACAGGCAGGGGGTTGTCACCTGCTGCCCAGTCCCCTGTGCGTCCCCTCTCCAGGGCTCAGGTTGGCAGTGCCCTGCACCAGCTGCCCCTGACCCCACCGGACCCTACACCCGTTGTAGGACTCATCCTGCACCCCAAAACCCCCTTTTTGACCACTGTTTTGGTCACCACAGACTTTGGCACCCAGACAGCCACGGGGGCAGGGGCTGAAGCCGGGGGGACCCCCTGTGCCCCTGCCAGGCTGCCAGCCCTGTGTTTTGGAGACAGCTCAGAGCAGAGCAACCACAACACCATTGTCTTGGCTTCTGAGATCAAACACGAAGCCGCAGGTACCAGCTCGGTGAGGCACAGGAAGCCCAGCTGTGTCGGGAGGGGAGGGGGGGGTTATGACAGCCTGGGGGGCACATCAGGCTCTCCCCACGGCCTGGGAAGGAGAAGCAGCCCCCAAAATGATCCCTGGGTCATCCCACAGCTTCCCTGGGTCTCCCCACGTTGTCCCTGGCACTGCTTGCACACAGGACTCTGCAGAAGTCACATCCCCAAGTGGCAGCTTGTGCTGTCACCTCCCTCCCCCCCTCCCTGGTCCCCACAGCAGAAATCTTGGAGCCACATCTACGGGGCCAGGGAGGTGCCTGGGTACGTGAAAATACAGAAAAAAACATCAGCTCTCACCTTCACCTCCTTTTATTCCGCCTCGAAGGGCTGCTCCCAACATTTTCCACCGTGCTTGACCCCACTGTCCCTAGGAACAGGCCCCCAGAACGCCCTGTGCCCCATGGGGGTGGTGGCACTTCCCACGGCACTGCCCCTGGAGCAGGGCTGGCAGCACCATGGCTCAGCTCCGCCCGCCCTGAGTCCTGAGGGATTTTGGGAGTGATCCTCGAGCCCTGCCAGGCCCAGATGCACCCGTGGGTGCCTGCGGGGCTCCCACCCGGCCCCCGGGGGGGATCAGCAGAGGGAGAAGCGGCGGGAGTTGATGTTCATGCGGGTGACCCCGATGTGCTTGAGGGGCGTGGAGAGCAGGAAGGCGGCCTTGGGGGGGATGTTGCAGAGCAGATCCGAGTCTTCCTCGCAGCCCTCGAGGCCGAAGGTGGCGTCGTCCAGCATCTCCTTGTGCTGGTGACAGGCCTGCTCCACCTTCAGGCGGTGCAGCCGCGCCCGCAGGCGCATCAGCTGCTGTGCCAGGCGCTGGTCCACAGCCTGCATCTCCCTCTGGAGGGGAGACCAGAGTCAGGATGGAGCGGGATCAGCCCCGGGTCAGCTGCAGGGGTGATGGGGCAGCAGGGATGGGGCTTGGCCAGGGAACAAACCCACCCTGGGACAGCACAGAGCCCACGCACGCGGTCCTGTGGTGGGCACAGTGTCTGATGCCTGTGGGCTTTTTACCCTGTTGCTGCCTCAGGGACAGGCTAGTGGGTGCTCCCAAACACCCTGTGCCCCATGGGGGTGGTGGCATTTCCCATGGCACTGCCCCTGGAGCAGGGCTGGCAGCACCACGGCTCAGCTCCGCCTGCCCCGAGTCCTGAGGGATTTTGGGTGCCACATAAAGGAGTCCACAGCAGCGGTGCCACCAGCAGAGCAGGCAGGGGGGGTGACAAGTGCAGACCCCAACAGTGTGGTGGGGGTACAGGGACAGAGCTGTGGCACCGCAGAGCCACGTGTGCCTTGCAAAAATCCTCGTGCACCCACCGAGCTGGGCAAAGGAGCAAAGCCCCTGCTGACCCTGCCACGTCCCCTCACTGCTGCATGAGCTCAGGCACGGGGGAGTCCTGTGGTCCCATCTCACCCCTCATCCCACTGCCAGCTACTCACCAGCTCCATCCTCAGCCACTCCAGAGCCGCCTCCATGGTGGCAAAGCCACAGACGCCACCACCCAGCTGGTCCTCGGGGTGCCCAGGGCCCTGCTCAGCCCCCCGGGCCCCCCCCGAGGTGCCCCAGCGCTGCCCCCTCACCCGGGCCTCCCACTCCAGGTACGAGGGTCTCCGGGTCTGCAGCTTCAGCTTGGCCGTCAGAGCCTTCACACTGTCCAGGTTCTCCTCCTCCCAGGTGGGCTCCTCCTCGCCCAGTTCCTTGAACTTCAGCTGGCTGAGGGCCATGGTGGGACTCCCCGCAGCCCCCCCAACCCCTTGGGTGACCTCTGCCCACTCAACAACCCACCCACCGTGGAAATGAAGCCTCTACCCTGGCCACGACCACCCGACCACCCGACCACCCGACCACCCAACCACCCACTCCCTCACTCCCCCAGCTGTGCCCGGTTCCCAGCTATTTATCCATCCCCCGAGGACAATTCCGATGGGCAGGAATTTCCTTATCCAGAGGAGTGCAAAGGAGGAGGGTTTTTGGGTTTATTCGATGTTGTCGTGATGGGGTTTTTTTTTGTTGTTTTCCTTTTCGTTTTTAGCATCATTGTCTCCGGCTGGGAGGAGACTCCCCGTTCCCGGACGAAGCCTTCACCGGGCACGGAGGAGCGGGAATGATTTATCCCCGGGCGCAGCCGCCCCCCACCCCGCACCCGGGGGGGACCCAAAAAAAGCCTAAGGAAGGAAAAAGAAACCGGGGGAGGGGGCACAAGGGGCAGCCGGGGTCCCGCACCCGGACGGGACGTTAAGGTGGAACCGCGTCGGGATCTGCCCTCTCCCCCTTCCTCCCTGCCCCGGGGGGCTCCAGGGGCAGCAGTGATGGGGCCCGGGTCTTACCTGTGTCCCACGGGTCTCACCTGCCCCTCGGACGCCCATCCCCGACCCCTCCGGCGCCCCCAGAGTGCCCCCCCAAATTCCACGCGTGCCTCGCCAGTGCTGCGAGAGAGCCCCCACCTCTCCTTCGCGTGTCCCTCCCACGGCCCCGCGCGTGTCCCCTCGCTCCCGCACCCCACACGGCGACACCCCCGCCCCCCAGCCCACCCCGGGAGCCCCCCGACCCCGGGGAGCGCCCCGTCCCTCCGGACCGGGCCACCTTAAACCCGACATCCGCCGGCCCGGCCGGGCTGTGCGGGGCATCGCCGCCCCCCCGCTTCCACCCCGAGGTCCCCGCGTGCACCCCCAGGTCCCTCCTCCCACCCCGAGCTCTCCCTCTCGCGCCCCGAGATCCCCCTTTTACACCCCGAAATCCCCCCTCGCTTGCACCCTGAGCTCCTCCGCTTGTGTCTGTTGGCACTCTGGGGTCCCCCGCTTGCACCCCAGGGTCCCTGGTGCCACCCCACAGTCCCCTGTTGGGTCCTGAGAGTCTTCCTTGCACCCCACGGTCCCTGCTTGCACCCCACGGTCCCCTGCTTATGCCCAGGAGCTCCCCGTGGGCATTCTGAGGTCCCCTGCCTGCACCCCACTGTCCTCCCACTTGCACCCCAAGGTCCCTGCTTGCCACCCGAGGTCCCCCCTTGCCCCCTGAGGTCCCCCCCGCCTGCCCCCCCAGCCCGAGCAGGTAAGCAGAGGGGTGGCAGGGGCACTGCCAGGTGCCCACCTTCCTCCTCCTCCTCACCCAGGGGCCTTGGCAGCAGCTCCTGCCCCGTCCCCAGGCCGGGGGGGGACACTGTGGGCACAGGGGCCCTGGCAGAGCCCACAGGGCCCTGGCAGCCGGGTCGAGGGGGGGCTGATGACGGGGTGGCAGGGAAGGACCTGGAGCTGCTCTCTGCATTCCCATTTTCACCAAAAATCGCCTCCCTGCAGCGCAGCCGGCACGGGATACCCGGCTTGGGGTGGGAGCCTGGGGCCAGCTCAGCCCCCCCCGCCCCGTGCCTCAGTTTCCCCGGGGAGGAAACGTCCCCCTGGCTGCGTTTCGCAGCTCCGTCCGCTGTAGGTGACAGCGCAAACACCCAGAGGGGGTGAGGCCGTGACGCAGAGGGAAGAAGGGGTTTCCAGCCGGGCCGTGCGCCGCAGGATTTCCCCTTTCTCCCTCCCCAGTCCCCCGCGCCGGGCAGAGCCGGCCATGGAGTTCTCGGAGCTGATCAAGACGGCGACGGTGGAGAACGTGCTGCTGTCGTGCGCGGGGCTGCCGGCGGTGAGGGGCACCCTGTGCATCACCAGCCACCACCTGCTCCTCTCCTCCTGCCCCGGCGGGGACGTGGAGCTCTGGCTGCTCATCCGCAACGTGGACGCCGTGGAGAAGAGGTGCGTGTGCTGGTCCCCGCCCCGCGGCTGCCCCGCGCTCCCTCCCGGCCCTGTCACCCCTTCCTCCCGAGCTGGAGCATTCCCGAGCAGAGCACGGCCACCCCTGGGTGCTGCCCGCCGAGCCTTGTCCTTCCTCTTTCTCACGGCCCAGCACGGCAGCACCGGGCGCTGACCTCCTCTTCTCCTCAGAGTGCAGAATTTAGGCTGGTACCAGCCCCCCCGGACTAACAGCTCCGCTCGGGACACCAGGTTTGGCTTTTAACGCTCCCTTGGCTCTGCCAACCACCGCGGCGCCCGCCGTGCCCCGTCCAGGGCAGGGAGACAGTGGAAATCCCGGCTCGGGGGGCAGACGAGAGCCAGAGATTTGGCAACCACACCAGCACAGCCCTCGGGGGGAGAGGGTAGCTCGGCGCTGTCTGTGTGTCCGTCTGTGCGCGCACGGACCCCCGGCCAGCCCTGACCCCCCTCCTGCCTCCCCCAGGCTCACCGGCTCCTCCGGCACCATCACGCTCCGGTGCAAAGACCTGAAGGTGCTGCAGCTGGAGATCCCGGGCATGGAGGAGTGTCTCAACATCGCCAGCTCCATCGAGGTGAGCCCCGGGCAGCAAAGGGTTGCCAGGGGAAAGCGGCCCCGCCGTGTTTGCGCTGGGTAAATAAGCACTCAGCTCCGGCAGCGCTGGCACAGGGTGCCCCGTGGGGCCGCTGGTGCTGCCCAACCCTGGCCTGGTGCTGGGATGTGGCCAGGAGCAGGGAACAGCCACGGGGTTTGCAGAGCCCTGGGGACATTCCCAGCCACGACCCCTGCCCCGTGACCGGCGCCGCCTTTGCTCTCGCTCCAGGCCCTCTCCTCGGTGGACTCCGTGATGATGATGTACCCGTTCTTCTACAGACCCCCGAGCCTGAAGCTCGAGGAAGGATGGCACCAGTTCCCCCTCGAGCAGTATTTCCAACAGATCTCCTCGCAGGTGAGGCTGGAAGGAGACCCGACTCCCCCCACCCATAGCGGGCTGGGCACCAGGGCTCCCCCTGACCCCGTGTCTGCCCCAGACGAGCCAGTGGCGGCTGAGCACCGTGAACCAGGACTTCAGCACCTGCCCCACGTACCCTCCCGCCGTGATTGTGCCGGCGGCCGTGGCCGACGAGGCCCTGAGAAAGGCTGCCCGGTTCCGGCAGGGCGGGAGGTTCCCCGTCCTCAGCTACTTCCACCCCAAAAACCGCACCGTGAGTCCGCCCCGCCCCCTCGTCCCCTCTCCCACTGCTGTCAGCCCTCTGGGAAAGGTGGCTGGAAGCCCTCCCCACGCCGTGGGGTCCCCCAGTGCTCCCCATCTCTCACCTCACAGGTGATGCTCCGCAGCAGCCAACCCCTGACGGGACCCAACCGCAGGCGGTGCCGCGAGGACGAGACGCTGCTGGGGACGATCCTGGACGAGGGGGAGAGGGGCTTCATCATCGACACACGCTCGGCCCAGGCAGCAAAGCAGGCTCGGATGACCGGGGGAGGCACAGAGCCCAAATCCTCCTACCCACAGTGGAGGAGGCTGCACCGGCCCTTGGAGAGGTGAGGGCTGTGCTGAGCCCTGGCGCTCTCGTGACACGGGGGTGGTCGCACTGCCTGGCATGATGTGGGGGGTCCACCCCCACAAAAGAGTCACCAAGCCCCCAGCACCTCTCTCCCCGCTCCCAGGGGCCGCCCGCTGCAGGAGAGCTTCGCCAAGCTGGTGGAAGCCTGCAGTGACCCCTCCCTGAGCATGGACCGGTGGCTGGGCCGGCTGGAGAGCAGCCGCTGGCTCAGCCACGTCAAGGCAGCCTTGAGCACGGCCTGCCTGGCTGCCCAGTGCATGGACAGGTAAGGGAGCTGCACCCCAAAGCCCCTCCTTCCCCCAACTCCCAGCATGGCACGAAATCCGGGCGCCATCCCGGGTTGATCCCGACAGGGAGGAGGCCACGGTGCTGGTGCACGGGGCGGAGGGGACGGACACCACGCTGCTGGTGACAGCGCTGGCCCAGGTGATCCTGGACCCGTCCTGCCGCACCCTGGCGGGATTCCAGGGGCTGCTGGAGCGGGAGTGGATCCAGGTGAGAGCAGCAGCTCCGAGGGGGATGGGGATCCCAGCCTGGGTGGGCACCCTCAGCCCCATATCCCCCCCCCCCTCGGGGTCCCACAGGCCGGACACCCTTTCCACCTCCGCTGCGCCCACTCCGCCTATTCCCACGCCCGGCTGAAGCAGGAGGCACCGCTTTTCCTGCTCTTCCTGGACTGTGTGTGGCAGCTGAGCCGCCAGTTCCCCTTCTCCCTGGAATTTGGGGAGCGCCTCCTCCTCTCCCTCTTCGACAACGCCTACGCCTCGGCCTACGGCACCTTCCTCTGCAACAACGAGAAGGAGAGGTGAGAGGGGTGGGGATAGCGCTGTCCCCAGGGAGCAACTCCAGCAAATCCCCTCCTGGTCACGGTTTGGGTCACAGCAAACCCGAGCCCTGGCAGGGACTGAAACACATCCCCCGTGTCCCACAGGAGCCTGTGCAAGGTGAAGGAGAGCACACACTCGCTCTGGGCCTGGCTGAACCGGCCCGAGGAGCAGCAGAAGCTCCTGAACCCTCTCTACTCCCACAACGCCCTGGTGATCTGGCCCTCCGTGGAGCCCCAGAGCATCCAGCTCTGGCAGGGTGAGCGGGATCCTCCCAAAATCCATCCTCAGCCCCGAGCTGGGCTGGCTGAGGGGAAGCTGCTCTGCCTTTCCCTCGCTGACAGGGCTGAAATAACACCCAGCCCCTTCTCTCCCAGGTTTATTCCTCCGTTGGATCCGTCCATCCCAGCACCTGGATGAGGCCTGGGCAGAGATCCAGCGGTTGGTTGAGGAAAACAATGCCCCTGCCAAGGAGAGCACAGGGAACAGGCTGAGCCAGTCCCTCTCTGACCCCACTGCTGGGGTCTCCTGAGAACAGGAGATGAAGGGCAGCACAGGCAGTTCAGTCCCATGGGATGCCAGGACAAGGCAACACTGAAGTTTCCTGTGGGAAGTGCTGTGCTGGACACAGACCCCATGGACAGCACTGGGAGGGAGGAACAGACCCCCTTTCCCAGCCTTTGGGCTGCCCAGACTGAGCTTGTTTCAGTAAAGCCTCTCTCCCAGCCCACACCAGCATTCCACTCTTCCATAGGGGCAGGAGGAAGATGCTCCTTCCCAGTGGGATTTTGGCAGCACTTGTGGATTGCTGTGGAGCAGGACATCAACCTGCCTGCCAGCCAGGCACAGCAAAACCAGCAGCTCACACTAAACCAACACCCTCTCCACAGAAGGCACAGAGGCTGCAGCCTCACTGTTCCATCAGCCACTCCAAGCTGGGAGAGCCGGGCTGGGAATTCTGCCCTTGAACCCAGATTTGAGGAAGGAAAGAGAAACAAACCACCCCTCCCGACAGGCAGGGTGAGACAGGGGGGAAGGATGAGGAGCACGAGCTCCTAGAGCAGGAAATAACTGTTCCATGAGGAAAGTTGGCCCAGGGTCAGCCCAGCAGATAAACAAAGCGGCCGGGCCGGGCGCGTGCGTGTCAGCTGGAAAACAATTCCTGGCTGCTGCACTTCCAGCCTCTTCACACTTCAGGGCTGGACCTGAGGCTCTGGGTCACTCCCTGGGAAAGAGTTAAGCCAGGATGGGCAGAGGTCCCGGGAGGAGCAGCACTGTCTGTCTGCCCATGGGTGTGGAACAAGGCACTGGCAACAGAGCCAGGAAAACAAAGTCCTTGGGTTAACTGGGGGAAAAAAAAACAACCAAAAAAACCCCACAGAGGTGCTTTGCCTTGTGTTTACAAAAGATTTCTATTTATTTCCTGATGATTTTTTCCCTCCCCTGATGTATAAATATGCCCAGCAGGCAGGAAGCCCCCGGGGCAGGCAGGCAGCCAACCCAGCAGCCTTCCCACAAAAGCCATTCCTGCCCTTTGGAGCTGGCTGAGTTTCCACTTCCCCACCTTCACACAGCACCCAAAATGCAGCAGGAGAACTTCAGGCCTTACAGCAGCCCCATGACAGAGCTGATGGACTGGGCAAGGGGTTGGAGGAGAAAAAGGAGGAGGAGAGGAGAGGGAAATCCTCCTTCAGGCTTCAAACTCAAACTCGAAGTACTGGGGATCGAAGTAGTGGATGCGGACGTAGCCATCCTCACCCCCACTGCTGTAACTGCAGGGAGGAAAGGGACAGTCAGGAACGCTGCAGGAGCAACCAGGGGCAAGTCTGGCCTCACAACCCCCTCCTGGAACTAATACAGGAGTCACAAGGCAAAGAAAGGATCAGTGAGGCAGCCAAAGTGTGGAACAGGGTGTTGGTGACCCCCCGGGCTGGCCTGAGGGGAGGCTGGAATGGGAGGATTAAGGTGCTGGTTCTGCTCCCAGCACAGGGATCCTGTAGGTCCAGACATATCCCAACTAAAAAGTGGGATTGCCTGGGCTGGGACACACTGCAAGACCCCCAGAGAGCCTCACCTCTTCCCGTCGGGGTGGAACGCGACGCTGTTGATGGGACCGAAGTGACCCTTCACTCTGCCAAACTCTTCCTCAAAAGCCAAGTGGAAGAACCTGGGAGAAGGAAGGAGATTTACACTGTCACAAGGAGCTGGGAGCCTGGAAGGGGCACAATCAGGGATTCCTCAAACAAGCTCTGCGTGTTCAAGGACTCCTCCAGGAGCAGGGTGCTCCGGGAACAGCGTTCTGAGCTGTCAGGAGCTCTCCGGGTGAGGGAAAGGACCTGCCTGGCCTCAAATTTGCCAATCCTGGTGGAGGTTGTGGTCACATCCATGGCCTCCTGCCCACCACCAAGCACGACCTGCAAAGGAGAGAAGCCACCACCCCACTCAGGGGCAGCTGGGGGAGGAGGGAGCAGAGCCTTTGGGGAATCCCAGAACCACCGAGGCTGGAAATCAGAGGGCACAAAGCCTCGTTCCCTGCGCCAGAGCCAGCAAAATTCCCCAGCCCCATTGCACAGTCCTGGTTTTCAGCTGGGCTGGGGACACTCACGCTGGTGACACAACTCAGGGGTGACACTGAGGGAGCTCATCCTTACGTGGTCAAAGATGGGGGAGAGGGCAGCGGAGTTCACCGGCCGCTCCGTCCGGAACGTCTTCAGGTGCTCCAGGGACGTGCAGTCAAAGAGCTACGAGGCAAAAAGGCAGAGAGTTCGTTAATTAACTCACACAAATCCAGCTGCTGGGCCTCACCTGGGGAGGTGCAGTCACTCCTGGACACTCAAATCCCAAAATGTACTTCCCCAGAATGCCAAAACACCGGCCTAAGGTAAACCTGTCGCCTTCCAGAGGTGGTAAGCTGCCAATATATTCTGGAAAATGCCAAAAGTATTCTGGAAATGCCAAAATAATTTCATTTTCAATGCCTGACCGATAACTTCACACGGTGGCATCTCCCCTTTCTCACTGAGCTTTGCCTTTCCACTTCCTCAAATCCCTGAGGAGGAAAAAAACCCCTGTGATAAGCTCTGAGGAGAGGTCCTGCCAGGAAATATCCACTGCTGATGGAAAACCTCACCTTGGCCGTGTTGTCCTTGGAGGCTGTGATGAACATGGTCATGTCCCTGGAGGTCTGGATGTCGTTGATCTGCTTGGTGTGCTCCTTGATGTTCGACAGCTGCTCCCCTGACTGAGGGGGAAGAGGCAGTTTCAGAGAGCTGGGAAGAGTCCTCCTCATTGAAAATAATTTAGGAGATCATGGAATAGCATCCTGGGATGGTGTGGGTTGGAAGGGAACTTGCAGATCATCTCACTCCACCTGAGCGGGGGGGGTTGGTACATCCGCCTTGCTCAGGGGAGCCACAAATCTGAACTACCCTTCCATGAAGCTGCTGTTTGGAGCCCCAAAATCCTACAGTTTGCCCCTGAACCCCACAGGAACGCTGTGCCATCCTCCTCCCCACCCCAGTCCCTGACCTTGGCACTGAACTGGTTGAGCTCCCCGCTCTCGTGGCCCGCGATGATGAACTCCCCGAGCGGGCCCCACACGGCGCTGGTGATCTTGGAGTCGCTGCAGGGGATCTTCATGTAGGGCTCGTTGTTCTCTGAGGGAGGGGACAGACACACAGAGAGGTGGCATGGCCCTCCACACCCTCCCCCAGCCCCTCCCCAGCCCCGGGGAGGGTCCCTCACCGATCTGGGCGGGGTCCCGCAGGTCGAAGAAGCTCACGAAGCACTGGTAGCCCATCTGCTTGTCCGTGGAGAACATGATGATGTTCCCCCCAAAGTCGAAGCCACACGTCCTCACAGCACTGCTGGTCTTCACCAAGGCCAGCTGCTTCCCTGGGGGGGACAGGGACATCAGCTCAGGGGGCTGGGGGAGTTATGGGACAGGGGAAGGGGTGGCAGGGGAGGCAGGAGGGTCGGGGGATCCCTGACTTGGGATCTGCAGAATCACTTGTGAGTCACAGACCACCGGATTTTGGGTTTTTTTTCTGAGCTTAATCATGGAATAACAGAATGCTTTGGGTTGGAAGGCACGTTACGGATCACCTTTCCCACCCTCTGCCTGCAGGGACACCTGACGCTATCCAGCCTGGCCTTGGATACTTCCAGGGATGGGGCAGCCACAGCTTCTCTGGGAAATCCATTCCAGCCCCCCACCACCCTCATAGTGAAGAATTCCTTCCCAATCTCTCACCTAAATCTCCCCTTTTCCAGCTTAAAGCCATTCCCCCTTGTCCTGTCCCTCCATCCCTTGTCCCAGGTCCCTCTCCAGCTCCCTTGGAGCCCCTTCAGGCACTGGAAGGGTCTCCAAGGTCTCCTCCCCAGGCTGAACACCCCCAGCTCTCCATGGCAGAGCTGCCCCACCCCTGTGGATGCCCTGCAGGTGCCAGGCAGGGATTTGGGAAGGGTTTTACCTGTCTCACAGTCCCAGAGCCGGCAGCTGTTGTCGGCAGAGCCCGTGAGCACGTGCCGTGTGTCCCCTGGGTGTCACCAGTCAGGGAAGGACATGGATAAACTTTTTAGATATGTACAAATTCTACATATATATATATGCATAAAAATTCCATCTATATAAAAATACATATGGAAAATGTAACAGTTTAAGTGGAGGTATCAAGACCAGAGTGAGAGGCAGGAATGACCCCAGAGGCAGAAATATGGAATATATGTATTTATATATATAATTGGATATATATATAACTATAAATTTATATTAAAATGTGTATATAAATATAAATGTATATAAAACATAAATATATTATATATATATAAATTCCATATAAAAATATACATGGAATATTTAAGAATTTAAGTGAAGGTATGTCAGAATAAGAGGCAGGAATGATCGCAGAGGCAGAAATATGGAATACATATACTTATATAGATAAAAGAATATATATTACATACACAAAGATAATTATATATATATAGAATTTTTATATATATACAAATTCCATATAGACAAATTCCCTATCTATATTCAATATATATATATAAAAATATAAATGGAATATTCAAGAGCTGAAGTGCAGAGATCAAGGGTAAAGAAGCAGGAAGGATCCCAGGGGCAGTCTGATGGGAAGAATCCCGGGCTAAAACATGGGATCAAACCCGTCTTTTTTGGGGGGATTAAAAAGGATACAATCGGCATCCACACACCACACAGCCCCCGTGTGCCCGTTGTAGGTGCCCAGCCTCTCGCCGTTCACCGAATACCACACGTTGACGATCTGCGAGGCGAAAAAAACCCGCGCGGATTAATTAATAATAAACTAACGAATTATGGCGGGGGTGGTAAGGGGGGGAGCACTCACGGGATCCTTGGCCACGGTGAACAGCAGGTCTCCCTCGCGGTTGTATTTGATCTGCGTGATGGAGCGCTCATGGCCTTGCAGCAGGATGGGCTTCTGCAATTATTAAGTTATTAATTAATGAGTGAGGGGAGGTGGAGAAGGAAAGGGAGGGTGAGGCGGGGGGGCGAGCGCGGCCCCCGGTCCGGGGCGCCTGGGGCGCGGGGGAGCGGCAAAGCCGCCCCCCCGCGCCCCAGGCACCCCGGACCGGGGGGTTTTGAGCCGCTGAATCATCGGGAGCGGCCACAAATCGCGACAACCGCGACCACCCCGCTCCGGTCTTACCATGGCGGCCACGCTGAGGAGAGAGGAGGGCGGTCACTTCCGGGTTGAGGAGTCGCAGAAGAAATGCGTCACGGGATCGCCATGGCAACGGCGCCGGGCTTCCGGTCCGACCAGGAAGTGAAGCGCCGTTGCCATGGCGACCGCGGGTGAGGGGAAAGGAGATGGCGGCGGGGAAAGGGGATGTGAGGGTGTCCCTGGAGCGGGAGGGAGGTTGTGGAGAGCGGGGTTGGGTTGTCGCGGGTAAACGGGGATGGAGGCGTGGGATGGGTGAGGTTGGGAGGGAGCTTAAAGATCGCCTGATTCCAACCCCCTGCCATGGGCAGGGACACCTTCCACTACCCCAAGTTGCTCCAACCTGGCCTTGGACACTCCCAGGGATGGGGCAGCCGCAGCTTCTCTGGGAAATCCATTCCAGCCCCTTCCCACCCTCGCAGGGAAGAATTTTTTTCCCAATATCCCACTTGAATCTCCACTTTTCCGATGTGAAGCCATTCCCCTTTGTCCTGTCCCTCCAGCCCTTGTGAACAGTCTCTCCCCATGTTCCTTGTAGACCCTTCAGGTCCTGGAAGGCCACAATGCGGTCACCCCGAGGCTTCTCCAGACTGAACAATCCCAATTCCCTCAACCTTTCCTCCCAGCAGAGCTGCTCCATCCCTCTGACCACCTTGGTGCCTCCTCTGGACTCGCCCCAGCAGCTCCGTGTCCTTCAGCAGGACCAGGAGAAACGACTCCAAGCTCTGCCAGGGGAGGGATAACAGGAAAAAATTCCTCACAGAAAGGGTGGTCAGGCCTTGGAAGGGGCTGTCCAGGGATGTGGTGGAGTCCCCCTCCCTGAGGGGGGTCCAAACCATCCCTGGGGTGTCCAAACCATCCCTGGGGTGTCCAAATTATCCCTGGGAGTGTCCAAACCATCCCTGGGGTGTCCAAATTATCCCTGGAAGTGTCCAAACCATCCCTGGAGGTGTCCAAATGACAAGTGGATGTGACACTTTGTGAGAGGGTTTATTGGGCTTGGGGGCACACGGTTGGATTTGACAATCTGGGAGAGCTTTTCCAACCTTAAAGCCCATCCAGTCCCACCCCCTGCCATGGGCAGGGACACCTTCCCCTGTCCCAGGTTGCTCCAGCCCGGCCTGGGACACTCCCGGGTGTTCCAGGGTGGGTGAGGGCCGTCCCTTGGGCTCTGTGGGATCCCAGGCCGGGATCCCGGGAGCCCCATCCCGCTGATCCCGGTGTTCCACAGGGCAGGCGGTGTCCCTGGCGCTGGTGGCCGTGCTGTGGGGCGGGAGCAGCCCCTTCCTGAGGGCGGGAGCAGCGGGAATGGAGGATGTTCGGGGCCGGGGCCGCCTGGGGCAGCTCCTGGCCGAGATCCGCTTCCTCGGCCTCAACTGCAAGGTGGGACCTGGAGCAGGGCGTGGCAGGGGTCAAACTGGGATCACTCCTGCTTCTTCACTCAGGCTCTGATACCTTTGCTCAAGCTGTTAAATATTCCGTGTATATTTTTATATTTATGGAATTTATATGTGGAATATGTGTTCCATATTCCTGCCTCTGAGATCATTCCTGTCTCTCACTCTGGCCTCGGTACCTTCACTTCAACTCTTAAATATTCCATGTATGTTTTTATATTTACAGAATATCTATATGGAATTTTTATATATATATATATATATATTTATACATATATTCCATTTTCCTGCCTCTGGGACTGTTCCTACTTCTTACTCTGGCCTTGATACCTTCACTTCCACTCTTAAATATTCCATATATGTTTTTATGTGTGTGGAATATATATAATAAATTTTTATGTATTTTTAGATATATACTATTCTTAATATATATATTTATATATTTTTATATTTGTGTATATTCCATATATTTATATATAAATATACATATATTGCATATTCCTGCCTCTGGGATCATTCCTACCTCTTACTGTGGCCTTGATACCTTCACTAAAACTGTTACATATTCCACATGTATTTTTATAAATATGGAAATTCTATATAATTTATATAAATATATATGTATGTATGTATGAATTCTATATATATTCCATATTCCTGCCTCTGGGATCATTGCTACCTGCTTACTCTGACTTCAATAACTTCACTTAAACTGTTAAATATTCCATATGTATTTTTATATGTATTCCATATATATTCCATATTCCTCCCTCTGGGATCGTTCCTGCGTCTCACTCTGGCCTCGATACCTTTATTTCCCTGTGAAATATTCCATATATCATCAGAATTCCTTACCCTCAGCAATATTTCATTTAATTCCCTGTAGCTCTGCCCTCCCTGTGCAGGACTGAGATGTTTTTGGAGGTGTCAGGTCATCAACCCTCATATTTTGCATGGAATAAGCTCAGTGTCAAAATTCCTTTGGGATCATTCCTACCTGCTCCTGGCCTCGATACCCTCACTCAAACTGTGAAATATTCCATCCCTGATTTTAGGTATATGGGATTTATATGGGACTGCTGACAGGTTTGTGCTCTCCCTGCAGTACATGGTGCCCTTTCTGCTCAACCAAGGTGGATCCCTCCTCTTTTACCTCACCTTGGCATCCACAGGTCAGTCCTTGGCGCTTTTTTGTCGTGTCTTGGTGAGGATTTTGGGAGGATCAGTGGTTTGATTGATGGCTTAACCCAACACCCAGCAGCTGCCTTGGAATCACCCCAAATAAACCAAGAACCTCCATGTTAAGCTCTGTTAAACCTCCCCTTCCAGACCTGTCCCTGGCAGTCCCGCTCTGCAACTCCCTGGCTTTGGTGGTGACCCTGGTGACTGGCAGGATCCTGGGAGAGGATGTTGGTGGCAAACGTAAGTCACACTTCAGGCATTCCCTCCCCTGCTCCCCTGCATCTGTTGGCTGATTTAGGGTGTGAAAACAGCAAATACCCCCCCAAGGCTTTGCCTGGTTCAGCAGCAGCTCTTGCTGCAGACCCTGAAAGGGAAGTGAAACAGATTTGTGGGCAGGGCTGGTAAATTTAAATTTAGAACTGGCTGTTCTAAGCTAAAAGAGCTTGTAAGCCTAACTAGATGTTGAACCATAACAGAAGCACTAAATAATATGCCCACCATGGAAAAGGGGTGGCTCATAAGCCCCCAAATGTCAACACCCATCCTCCTTTCCTTCCCTGATGAACTGCACTGACATTGCCCTGCTCAAAAGGGCAGAAAAAGGCAGGGAACTGGAAAGTTTAAAACTCCAGCACCTGGAACAAGAGCTGCAGGACCAGGAGCTGTAGGAAAATGAGCTGTAGGAACAGGAGTTGTAGGAAAAAGGAGCTGTAGGAAAAAGAGCTGTAGGAACAGGAGCTGTGGGAACAGGAGCTGTAGGAACAGGAGCTGTAAGAAGACACTGAGTTGTTGTTGTTTAAGCCTGGATCTCTCCAACAGACACAGGAGTGACATTTCCTTGGAAACATCCTGTGCTCAGTGTACAGGGACAGTCTGAGCATCCAAACCCCCTCAGAACTCACCTGGCCCAGACTGGACCTACCCAGACATCCCTGCCCTGTGACACCTGAGCATTGTCTGAACTGTACAGACAATCACAGAATGGGTTGGGTTGGGAGGGACCTTCAAGATCATCTCATTCCAACCCCTCCTGCCTGTTCTTGATAAGCACATTCCCAATATGTTCATTCCCACAGGGGCTGTGGCAGGAATGCTGCTCACCATCCTGGGGGTCTCACTGTGTCTGGCTGGTTCAGGAACAAGAAGCAGAGGGACAGAACCTGACCAAGGGTAACCCCCCCTGTGGCTGAGGGAGCTCCTGGCTCAGCCACGCCTGGGAAAGGTGGATTTTGACACACAGATGTCAAAACCCATGGACTGTATTCCCTGAGCACCAGGGTGGAACAAAGCACATCCCATTCCATGTCTGGAGTTAAGGAATTTTTTTGTGGGTGTTTCAAGACGACGACAAGTTGAATTTGCTCAGCACTGAAGGGGCAACAAGGGGTTAATAAATCATTCAACGGGACCTTCTGGGACTGATTGATTTTTGATTAGAAGGAGTTTTTTTAGGAATTCCTCCTTCTTGTAGCCAAGCAAGTGAAAATGGCTTTTTCTGCTGTGCTCAGCTGTCCCAGCTCACACTGCACAGCCCCTTACTCAGAGGTTACTACAGGGCTTTGCTCAGAGTTCCTCTCGTCCATCAAACACCCACAAGTGCAGTGTGTCCCTAAGGAAGGAAGGGTGGGTTCCTTTTCAGTGAAATTATCAGTCCAAAGTACCAGAGAAATCACAGAAGGAAAAAAAAAAAAATAATCATTGTCACCCTTGTAATTAATGAGAAACTCCAGGGAGGGAAATCAGAAAGCCTTGCCCAGGGAGGGTGATGCAGGAGCTGTTTATTCCTGTGACTTTTCCTAAATCAGGGAGATGTTCCCAAGACAGAAATAAAATATATATGGATTTGGGAACAGCTTTAATTGCTGCAAACATTATCCAGGCATTGCAAATCAGAGGGACAACAGTACAATGAAATCTCTTTCTAAGAAATACCTGACATAGAGCAAACCCTGGCAGGTGTTTTGTTATTAAAACATGTTTTCTGTTTGGTAATTCTTCCTTCCCCAGTTCAGCTACAAACCAGCCCATTTAGAGCTCAGAAGAGCAGCCATTTCCTCTGAGAAATAAAGGGGAAAATCTTCATTATTTAACAACACTGTGCATCTGAATAAAACCAACTGCACAGGAATGTGATCCGGGGGGGGGAAAGCCAAGGGAAAGGAGCAGCATTGGAACACCCAGTGCAGCAAACACAGCACAACAAGGGTCAGGAACCACCAGCTAAAGCTTCACCAGGGCTTTCTCTAATTTCACTTCAAAGGAATTGTCTTCCTTTGAAGTTCTAATTAACCCAGAGACACCACCAAGGCAGAGCTGAATCACCTACGCTGTCACCCATTACAGCAATCCTGAATATCCTCAGGAAAAGCTGGAATCATTAACACACCACTGACAACAGGAATTCTGCTGACCTCGTCACGCAGAACATTGTTTTAGAAAGAACTGTTTTTTCCCTCTTTTTTAAAGCAAAGGTTTGAACTTCTGTTACTAAAATAAGTGTGTTCAAGTCATTTGAAGAATTAGGTGGTTATTCCCTGGCGGATTCTGAGCTTCACCTGGATACAGGTAAGTTCTGCTTAAGGAACTTCAGGAATTGCAGTGGGAGGAATCTGATCAGAGGAATGTTCTCCCCCGCTCCACAGAACCAGTGAGGGGAATAAATACCTTTCTGTGGTGTCTCATTTTGGGTTTTCATGTAAATTCTTCTGTGACAGGAGTGAGGATGGAAACACAGAAGAATCCAGGAGAGCCTTTGCAGTCCTTACTGGGGTGGGAAGCTGTAGCTTTCACGTTCCAGAAGGGAATTGTTCATTCTCCAGATGGGATTTCTTGCCTTTCTAACACACGAGGCCCTGCAGTGACACCGTGCTGCGGTTTCTCAAGTTCCCCCTCGTGGTTACTCTCGGCTTTACACATCGGAGAGCAGCTCAGTGTGTCCTAAACCTGATAAATAGGATTTCAGTGAGAAAACAAGGAATTGCTGTGAACTCTCGATTGGCCCTTGGGGCTGAGCCATTCCAGGGGGAGCAGGAGTCCTTCCCTGGAGCAGGGAGGTTCCAGACAGGCAGGAAATCCCCTTTCAGACCTGGTCAACATCCAGCCTGGTGTGTTCACCCTCTTCCCGAGCACCTCTCATCTCCCTCCTTGGATCCCTGGGTTTAGAGAGGCTTTTACCTGTGAGGAAAAGGGAAAAGCTGTTCCATGGGTGTTGCACGGCCTGGTCACGCTGAGGCTGCAGAATCCTGGTGTGTGCCCAGGTGAGGAGGGGAAAGAAGAACTGCAGGAATTGCTGGATGCATCCCTGCCTGCTGTCAGGGCAGGAGTCCTGTCCTTCAGCATCATAAATCCAGCCCCCTCCACACTCACACCTTCACCTGGGCCAGGCTGCACACTCCTGCTGCTCCTTCTGTTCTGTCCTGCACGCACAGGTTTGACATGGAAAATGGGCTCTTCCTCCTCGAGGGGAGATTCCCTGGCTGGAATTCGCAGCTGTGGGGAGGCAGGTGGGATCTTGCCTTTCTCTGCAGCTCCCGTGGCCTGCACCCTGCGACTGCCCAGCTGAAAAAAAACCAGCACAGTTTATAAAAGAGAAGTTGTGCAGGGCAGTCCCTAAACACTCAAATTCCTGCTGTTTTCCCTGATCCTGACTGGTACAAAGCTGTAACTGTAACAAGAGGGTTTCAGGGAGAGGCTGTGGCTGCCCCATCCCTGGAAGTGTCCAAGGCCAGGCTGGACAGGGCTTGGAGCAACCTGGGCTAGTGGGAGGTGTCCCTGCCCAGGGCAGGGGGTGGCACTGGATGAGCTTTAAGGTCCCTCCCAACCCAAACCATTCCATGATTCCATGATTGCAGCACGAACCACTCTGTGCCACTGAGCACTCACCCTGCCCTGGCTCTTTTTGTGCCTGGTTTTTGGGTGGTTCCTGTAACAAAGAAGCAAATTCCAGCATCAGGCAGAGGTCAGCTGAGGGAGGGCACAGTCCCCTCTTTTCCCAGAGGAGAAGGGGCCCAGAGGTGTTTTTCACATTCCACAGTGGATCCCATCAGGTGATACCACACTGCCCACCACAGGCCTGGGAAATTCTGTGGATAATGGGCAGGGGTCCCTCTCAGTCCTCCATGAACAGGCAGCTGAGAAACAGCCAAACCATTTGCTTCCTCTGGCACTGAACCCTGGATTTCAGGGACTAACCAAAAACCTTTGAAAACATTCTTCTTCCTTCCCCGAACTCCCAACACACGAAGCACAACTCAAACCCTGGCACAGGCAGAGGGAACAGAGGGGGGCCACAAAAAGGATGGCTCTGCCTGAAGGGCACCACAGAGGGAATTCCTTACACCCCTTGGCCACAGCCCACTCACCTCAGTGTCCTGCACTCCTGGGGCACCAGCAGCTCCCTGTAGGGCAGGGGTTTGTACTCCTCCTTTCCCACTGCCACGTAGTGATGGCCATTCTCCAGCTCCTCCCCTCCGCACACCGGGGTCCCATCCAGCCTGCAGAGCCTGGAGGAAGGAGACAGCAAAGGGATCGGGGCTCTGGCAATCCCTGAACGGCCCCCTCAGCGTGGAAAACAAGGGCAGAGTGGGAAACGAGGCAGAGGATCCATCATTCTTAGTGTTACTCTGAGGAAGTCACAGAAATCATGCCCAGTGATCAGTGAGATGCAATAGATCCCAGCTTTTTCCTTGGCTAAATTGATGTTTGGGGAGGAATTAGGTTTTCTTCCCCTCCCTCAAGACATAAACTCCTTTTTATGCCACTGTTGTGGGGTTTTTTTCCTGTTTGCTTATTGCTTTTTCACCAGCATCACAAAGCACCCAGGACAGTGGGGTTATCCCTCATTTAATGATGGGAAAACCTGAAATGCAAACGAGTTTGCAAAAGCAAATGGTCTGAACTTCCAGCCAGAGCTCCCTATGTTCTGGATCTATGGGAAGTGCCTTCCCTGGATACCCACTTGTTAACAGCTCCACTGCCCAACTCCACTTTCTCTGTCAGCGTGGCCAGGAGCGTGTCCCACTCCAGTGGGATCCTCTTGGGGAGCACCAGTGGGAAAGGAGGGCTCAGCAGATCCCCATTCCGGAAAACACTGCAGGAGAAGCAGCCCAGAGCACGGGATGAGCCAGCATTCCCAGAGCTGTGGGAGATGGGGAGAACAGCCAGGCACCAGGGCCCAGACTGTATTTACAGCCAATACTCCTGGTGGAAACTGGGAATCGTCCCTGCGGGGCAGCATTCCCGGGATTTCACGGAGGAACTCCCTCTGAAAACATTCCCAGGGACCCTCCAAGGGGAAAATATGGAATCACTTACTGTATGGTGCAGGGCAGGCGGGAGAGCTGCTGCTGTTGGACGAAGGTGTTGGATTTCCAGGGATCTGCAGCACGGGACTGGGGACAGAGTTCACTGCACAGGGACAGCCCTGCAGAGCCTCCCAGGCTGCTCCCGTTTCTCCATCAGGATCTGCCTGCCCTGGCACACACCCCTGGGATACAGCCCGGCCTGGGACACAGCCCATGGTGGGATACAGCCTGTCCTGGGACACAGCCCATGGTGGGATACAGCCTGTCCTGGGACACAGCCCATGGTGGGATACAGCCTGTCCTGGGACACAGCCCATGGTGGGATACAGCCTGTCCTGGGACACAGCCCATGGTGGGATACAGCCTGTCCTGGGACACAGCCCATGGTGGGATACAGCCTGTCCTGGGACACAGCCCATCCTGCCCAGCCTTGCTGCTGCCATGTGGGGTTTGTTGTCAGCAACAGGGAGGCTGCAGAGGCTCCTCACACAGGGAGTGTGTTCCAGGTTTGCCAGGGAATCCCTGAGCTCAGCCCCTTCCCTGCACTGTTCAGGGGGATGAAGGGATCAGCAGCAGCCCCCGTGTCCTGCTGATCCCTGGGGCACTTTGATCCCCACAGCCCTAAATCCCAACTTCAGTCCCATCAGCTGCTGTTTTTCACCCCCCTGCCCCTCAGTGACCCACCTGCAGACTCTTCCTCGTCCCACGGGGCTCCTTCCTTCCCTGATTTAAGTAGCTGTGGGAACAAGACAAGGGTGTTTCCCCACCCCAGCCATGGCTGCCTAAAGCTGCTCCCAAAGCTCCCTCTACTCACTCCAGCTTTCGGAGCCTCTCCGACCCCGCTGCCACGTACTGGCCCCCGTCCCGCAGGTCCCCCAGCCCCGTGACACCGTGGCCATACCGGGGGGTGTAGAGGTTCCTCACGGCCAGGGGGGTGTGGAGGGCCTTGGTCACCTCGTCCAGAAAGGCCTCGAAGGTCGGGAAGCGCCGGGGGGTCACCAGGAATCTCCTCCCCGGGAAGAAACGGTCCCCGTTGCGATAGATCAGCACGGTCCTGGCTGGAGCTGGGCCTTGAGGGCTCATCCCAGGGGGACACACTGGTCACAGGGGATGTGGCGAGTGGACAAACCTCCTGCTGAGCCCAAACCCTTTCAAATCACACCCCCCAAGAGCCCAAACCTTTCCAACCAGCCTCCCACTGAGCCCAGACCTTTCTGACCAGCCTAAATCTTCCAACCCCAGAGTCCAAACCCTTCCAACCAGCCTCCTGCAAAGCCCAAAGCAAACCCTCCCAACCACCCCAAAGCCTTCCAACCAGCCTCCTGCTGAGCCCAAATCCTGCTGAGCCCAAACCCTTCTCACCAGCCTCCCACTGAGCTTAAACCCCCCCAAGCAGCCCCCCAGATCCCAAACCCTTCTGACCAGCCGCTCTGGGCTCTGCTGTCCCGCCCCTTCCCAGCCCAGCCTGGTGTGACAGAGCATCTCCATGGATGCAAACCCAGCAGGAGGGAGCCGTGGGAGGCCACACCAAACGCCTGCAGAGCCCTTTTCTGCCCGAGAACCAGGAACCACAGGGCTCTTCAATCCTCAACCACCACTACAGGGGCCCAATATTGGAGTCACCAGGCTCTGACCGGGATTTATGGATCAGGATCTTCCTGTCCCACCCACAGCAGCACTGCCCAGGGGCTGTCACCCCCCTGGCATCACTTGTTCCCCTCAGGAGAAGTGCAAAGGATCAGATGAGCACCCACATCCCAGCGGGCACTTTGTCCCGAACAGATTCCATGGGCCAAAACAGGACTTGGCTCTGCCCAGGAAAAGGCAGGAAGCCAGACAGGAACAGATCCAAAGAGGAGCATTAGGAAAGCTTTTTATTCACAAACAAGTGGGGATCTATTCTGGAACAGAGGGATCCATCTGCCACCTGGCAACAGAGGTTGTTCAGGCAGCAGGAATGCAGAGGGGGAATCATGGGGGGGAACCACAGCACCACGTGGAAAGTCCCTTTTCCAGGGACCTGGAATGTTCCTGAGCTACAGGAACAGATAGAGCACTTCCCAACCTCCCCGAGGCACTGGTCCAGTGTTCCCAAAATCCACCGCGGGCACTTGGAGATCCTGGATATTGCAGAGGTGTGAAGTGCAGAGCCCTCCCAAACACACAGCTCAGATTCCCACACAGTTCAGAGAGGAACAGGCTGTTCCTGCAGGTCCCAGCACCTGCTGCCTTCAGGCATTTCAGTCCAAAAGCACCTTCTGTAAGTGAAAAATCTTCCCATCCTCCATTTTCCCCCCCCAGATCACCCAGCTCAGCCAACAGGAACGGGGTCCTTGTGGAAGGATCCTCACTGGGAATTCCTCCAGCACACACCACAACCTCCCTGGCTCCACAGTGTTTAATCCTGCTCTGACCAAACATTCACATCTACAAGAACTAAGAGGCTTTCTTGCCACATTCTGCTGAAGTTAAAACCATCAACCCACGGAGCTGGAGCTCCCCTGAGGTCACCCGTGGTGCTGCAGCTCCACGGCTTCCCCACACCCATCCAGGGGGTTGGGAATGCCTCCCAAGGAGTCAGGAATCCCCAGCTTCTGCTTCAGCATCAAGAACTGGAAGAGGAAGAAAACCAAACACTGATGATTAAATCTCAGAGACCCAGGGGCAGATCAAACAGCAAAACCCCTGTCCCCACCCAGCCCAATCCCTGGATAATGGGATTGTCCCCAGCCCCCGCTTTTGGAGGGGCTGCCCCTGCTGTTTGGGAAGAGGCAGGGCCAGGCCCTCACGTTTTTCCTGCTGGCAATGGCCTGTTGCAGCCACATGAGCTCCATGAGCAGGTGGGTCCTGTAGGCCTGGAGCCCGGAGCGGGTCTGGGGAAGGTCCCCCAGAGGGATTTCTGCAAAGAAACGGAACAACAGCCCAGGGTGAGGACAGAGATCCGGCCTGTGGGAGCTCCCTCCAGCCTCTCCAAGGCACTCTCAAGGCTGTGGCTCCCCTGTGGGCCCCCCCTGTGCCCCCTCACCCGGGTGGGCTCCGAGGGTCTCTGTGCCCAGGTCAGAGCTGTCCCACACCGAGGTCTCGCCGCTGTCGTTGTCCCACTCCTCGCTCTCCTTTTCCGTGCCTTTGTCACCCTCAACCCCCACATTTGGGGGGCTCAGGGTGTCCTCTGGGCCCGTGGGGGTCGGGGCTGTCCTGCCCTGCAGGGGGGCTGGGGGGGTCCCATCTGGTTCAGGGGGTTCAGGCTCCTCCAGAGGGTTTTTGGTGCTGGTCTCCTGGGGCTCCAAGGGCTGGCCTGGCGTGGGCTGCCAGAGGGGAGACAGGGGAGGGATGGAAATGGGGAAGGGGGGGAGGAGAGATGATATAGGGGAGGGAAAAGGGAAAAAAAAATATGAGGAGAACATAAAGAAAATATATGGAAAATAAGTATAAGAAAAATAAATATAAGGAAAATACGAAGAAAAATATGAAGGAAATAAATAGGAAGGGATAAATAGGAAGGGATAAATAGGAAGGGATAAATAGGAAGGGATAAATAGGAAGGGATAAATAGGAAGGGAAAAATAGGAAGGGATAAATAGGAAGGGATAAATAGGAAGGGATAAATAGGAAGGGATAAATAGGAAGGGATAAATAGGAAGGGATAAATAGGAAGGGATAAATATGAGGAAAATAAGTACAAGAAAAATAAATATAAGGAAAATATAAAGAAAAACAGAAAGGAAATAAATAGAAAAGAAAGTAGAAAACAGAAAATGTTATAAAATAAAATATAAAAATATGTAAAAGAAAATATAAAAAATTATAAAAGAAAATAGAAAAATACATAAAAGAAAATATAGAAATATATTAAAAATATAAAAATATATAAAAATAAAATAGAAAATATATAAAAGAAATGTAAATATTTATGAAAGAAAACATGTAAAAGAAAACACAGAGATCTGAGACGTGGCCCTGCTGCTGCTGGCAGAGCTCCTGCCCTGACATGATATGCTCTGGTCTGGTTTGAGCCATCCCAAACTTTCTGAAGGGCCAGAGGAGGGGGGAGCAGGGCAGGGGGGAGCCCAGAGGACCCCCAGTGCAGGTCGGGCACTGCCCCAGGGCCGGGGCACCCTCGATGTGCCCACAGGGGCACAAAGCCAGCCCGGGATCACCGGGCAGAGCTGCCACTGCCAACTGAGTGGCTTTTCCTGGCAGGGTCACAGAGCCCCGGGCACACCCCACAGGACCATCATCCCCCCGGGCAGGACCCCACCTGGGCGGGCCCGCGGGGGCCGGGGCCGAAGCTGGGCCGCAGCAGGAGCTGCCCCGTCCAGCGCAGCTCCCGCAGGTCCCCGTCGATCTCCAGCACGGCCGCCTCGAAATCCTCCCGCGCCCGCCGGAGCCGCCGCCGCAGCAGGAACCCCCTGGCACAGGCCTGCGGAGCTGCTGGAGCTGGGAGAGCCCCCTCGGACCCCCCCGAGCCCCCCAAACACCCTCCCACACCGGTTTAATGAGGCACCGGCACCCAGCTGGGACCTCCTGTGCCTGACCCCCCCAGGGACCCCTCTGACTCCCCCAGGGACTCCTCAGACCCCACCAGGGACCCTCTGACCCCACAATGACCCCTCAGACCCCTCCAGGGGCCTCTATGACCCCACAAGGACCCCTCTGACACCCCCAGGGTCCCTTCTGACCCCCCCAGGGACCCTCTGATCCCCCCAGGGACCCCTGTGACCCCCCCCGAGTCCCCTATGACCCCCACAGGGACCCCTCCAACCCCCCCCAGAGACCCCTTTGACTCCCCAGGGACTCCTCAGACCCCCCGCCCCAGAGACCCCTCTATGCCCCCCCCAAGGGTCCCCATCCAGCTGTGCCTCCCCAGGACCCCTCTATGCCCCCCCAAGATCTCCGTCTAGCTGTGCCCTCCCCAAAGGGCCCTGTCCAGCCGTGCCCCCCTCACTGTGCCCCCCCAAAGGCTTCCACCAGCTGTTTCCCCCCAAAAAAGCCCCTTCCAGCTGTGCCCCCCCATTCCCCCCGGCACAGGGACCCCCGTCCCTCACCTGCAGGCGGGTCAGGGCGCGGAGGAGCCGCCGCCGCCCCTCTGCCTCGGCCCGCGGGCCCAGCGCCGCCATGGCTGCGCCGCCCCGGCGCGGGGCGATGACGTCATCGGGCCGCGACGGGCCCCGCCCCGCCAGGCCCCGCCCCCGCGGGTCCCCCCGGGGCAGGTTGGGGAGTCCCGGTCTGGGGTCCCGGTTTGGGGGCCGGGCCGGGCACGGGGCCGGGAGCGGGCCGAGGGCAGGGCCGGGGTCAGGCGGCCGCGTCCTCGGGGTCCGAGGTCTCCGCCAGGTGCAGCTTCTGTCTGAGCGCGGGTCAAGGGGAAGCGCCACCGCTGTGTCCCCAGTGTCACTGCCACTGCCACCACTGCCACTGCCACCACTGCCACTGCCACCGCTGTGTCCCCAGTGTCACTGCCACTGCCACCACTGCCACTGCCACCACTGCCACTGCCACCGCTGTCAGTGTCCCCACTGTCAGTGTCCCCAGTGTCACTGCCACTGCCGCCACTGCCACTGCCACCACTGCCACTGCCACCGCTGTCAGTGTCCCCACTGTCAGTGTCCCCAGTGTCACTGTCACTGCCACCACTGCCACTGCCACCACTGCCGCTGCCACCGCTGTCAGTGTCCCCACTGTCCCCACTGTCACTGCCACCACTGCCACCACCATCACTGCCACCGCTGTCGCTGTCCCCACCGTCACTGCTCCCTTTGTCACTGTCCCCACCATCACTGTCACTGCTGCCACTGTCCCTGCTGTCACTGCCATCACGGTCACTGCCACTGCCACCACTGTCACTGCCACCACTGCCACCACCATCACTGTCACTGTCCCCACTGTCACTGTCACCAGTGCCACCTCCATCACTGCCACCACTGCCACCATCACCACCATCACCAGTGCCACTGCCACCACCTTCACTTTCATCACTGCCATCACTGCCACCCCCAGCACTGCCACCACTGTCCCTGTCACCACTCACCCCCACCAAGGATACATGGAGCTGCTGAGCTCTTCCAGCTGTGGGAGCAAAGGCAGAGCTGAGGAGCTGGTGGAGGGGCCGGGGGGGGTCCCAGCCCTGGCAGGGGACAGGGGGTGACACTCACATGTGCCAGCAGCTGGTCCAGGTTCCTGTCGGCCGCCGCCTTCTTCTGCTCCTCGGGGAGCTCCTCCACACACACGTCCAGCCCGAAGTGGAGCCGGGCCAGCTTCTCCTGCATCTCCCGCACGTGCTCCAGCTGCTCGAAGGAGCACTCCTTCCCTGGGAATCATCATATCCCATCCCACTCCTTCCCTGGGATCCACATGTCCTGTCCCACTCTTTCCTGGGAATCATCATATCTCATCCCACTCCTTCCCTGGAATCCACACATCCTGTCCCATTCTTTCCCTGGCATCCACACATCCCATCCCATCCCATTCCACCCCATCCCATCTCCCATCCCATCCCACTCCTTCCCTGGCCCCCCCAGGAAGGATCCATCACATCTCCTGCCCCCATGGCCCCCCAATCCCTGTTTCCTCACCGAACGCCTGCAGTTTTCCCGAGTGGAAGTCACTGAGGAGGTTGAGCAGCCCCCCCTCCATCTCGCACACGTCGGACACGTCCGTGAGGAAGCTGTGCTGGAGCGGGGCCCCCCGGGACCCCCCCGCGCCCGCCCGCACCCGCTCCTTGCTGGTCCTGCACAGGGAACAGGGATTTGCATCGCTCCAGGGGCACCACGGGGGGGCTGCAGGGGGTCCCCCCCATCCCGCACCGACCTGCGGAGCCGGGCGCGCTGCCGGGGCGAGGGCAAGGTGGGCAGCGGCAGCGCGAAGGTCGTGCTCTTGCTGGGGGGCAGCGGGCGCGGGGCCCCGGGGGGCGCCGGCTGGGCCAGGCAGGTCCTGGGGCTGCGCTTCCTCCTCCGCTCCTCCATCCCGGGGGCTGCGGGGACCCTGCGGGGACGGACACGGAGCTTGGAGGCTCCTTCCCTGATGGTTCAGGGAAAGGAGACGAGTCTGCCCGGGGCACAGCAGAGGGGCTGCGGGACCCCCGGCGTGGGGGGGTGACAGCCACGGCCACCGGGACCCTCAGCACGGCCACCAGGACCCCCAGGACAAAGGGGGACAGCCACGGCCACCGGGGCTCGCTGGCGGTGGGAGGGCTGGAGAAGGAGCTCGGATCCCCTTTCCCGGGGGGCAGCAGCCGAGCTCAGGCTCGGGCTCGGGCTCAGGCTCGGGCTCGGGCTCAGACTCTGCTCGCTGCCGGAGCTCCGGCCTGGCCTCGGCTCTCGCCGTGTCTCCAGCCCCGGGAGAGCAGGATTTCAACCTCGGCTGCCCCCGGCGAGAGTGGGACCGGGACCGTGCGGGCACCGACACCTCCGGGCTCCGGCCGAGCCCCCCCCCGACCCCCGCCCCGCTCCGGAGCCGTGGAGCCCCTTTGTCCGCAGCCTCCGGAGCTCCACGGCCGGGCACTGACCCGTGCCAGGCCCCGCTCCGGCCCGGGGGGCTGACCCGGCGTGTCCCCGAGCCCACCGGACACCCCAAACCTGCCGGACACCCCGAGCCCGCCGGACACCGTCCGCACAGTCCGGGATTTGCATTTAAAGGGAAAGGGAACTTCCTCCAGGCGCTGCCGGACTCTGCTGCCGGACCCCCAGAACCGGCCCCAGCCCCGGGATCAGCATCCGGCGGGATCGGGGATGGGGCAGGATCGGGATCCAGCCCCCGCTCCGCTCCCCCGCGGCCCCGGGGTCGTTCGTGCCCCCCCCTCCATCCCCCTCCGTTTACCCCGCGTTGTCCCCCGGTGTCAGCGCAGAGCCGCGACTGCGGGATCCGTCCCTGCAGGAAGGAGCTGGGAAGGAGCCGGGAGGGAGCCGGGAAGGAGCCAGGAAGGGCCTCCAGCCCTGGCGCAGGGACGGGATTAGACAAGTCCCGTCCCCCCCCGCCCGCCCCGCGCGCAGACGGAGCGCGGCTGCCCGTGTAAATCCCGCCAGGATTTTAATCCGACCTTGGACATTTTGGAGCCAATGGGGGCACCAGGGGTTGGGCACCCCCGGGGCAGGTGGCACTTGGTGGCTGCAGCATCCCCTGGAGGGAGAGCCACAGGTGAATGTCCCACGCTGGGGGTCCTGGAGACCCACTCGACCTTCCCTCGGGCAGGGACATCCCCTCCCAACCTCCCCCACCTCGTCCCCATTGGAAAGGCAGGGAGAGAGCTCCGGGAGACAGGGAAGCCACGTCCCACAGAGGCTGGTGTGGCCTCCCCAAACCCACCCCACCACCCCAAATCATCACCCCCCCCCCGTGGTACTGAAGGAGAGACAAGAGAGGCGGCAGCAGCAGCAGCGAGGTTGGGAGCGTTTCTATTGGATACAGGATACACACAACAGCCCCCACAGGGGTTTTCTGTACCGTCATGGGGAAAAGAAAAAAAAAAAACAGGGAGGGGAAGTTGGTGAATTCCTAAGGGGTTTTCCTTTTACTGAAGGAGCAGGAAGAGAAGCCCAGATCCCGATCCTGGCAGCAGCCCCTCCTCAGCCTGGCTGCTGGGAACAGGGTGGTCCCACCAGGCCAGACCTACATTCACTTGCTCGGGGGCTCCTGCCAGACCCTTCCAGAGGCAAATGCTGGAAGGCAAAGCCATGCTCAGCTCCAGGGAATGTGTCCCAGTGGATGTTCAACCGCAGCTCAGTGCAGACTTGTTGGAGCCCATCCCTGCTGCAGAGAGACCCTTCCCTGGACCTGGGCTCGTTGGGATCCCTGCAGAGGAGAGGGGGACAAGGAGGCAGGTCCTTCGTGGAGAGAAGATGCGAGAGCAGCTGCGTTGCCGGAAGAGAATCCAAAGCTGTTCCACTGAACACATCCACGGTGGGAAATGTCTCCAGCCAGCTGGCTCCAGCTTCCAGCAGAAGGAAGGCAATGCTGGGAATAAAGTCTGTCACAGAGAAGCTGCAGCGAAGGAGGGTTGAAGCACGTCAAGTCTTCCAAAAGAACACTGGAAAGAGAAAGTCTTGAGAAACTAAGGAGAAATCCCAAATCCCAGTGCCAGCAGGTCCCACGTCTGTCCCTGAACACCTTCCCAGCACAGCCAGGTCCTTGAGGCGAGTGGGGTGAGGCAGCACTGGGGAGATGCTCTTCCAAGAAGGCAGAGAGGGAAGGGAAAAGGGGGGTCTGGGATAGCACAGGTACCCCCAGGCTGGAGGGCCCACAGTCCTGGAGCTGGTCCCGGCGATCCTGGAGCAGACACAGGGTTTATCCTCCTGGAGCCCCAGCTCTGTGGGTGCCCCCAGGGATGGGGCAGAGGAGCTCAGGGGGGCCCCGTCCCCCTGCACAACGATGACACACTTGTGCAAAACACTTGGGAATTAGACCTTTGGATTAACTGTTTAATACACTTGTGCACATGTGCGTTCAGCAAAGAGGCAACTGTGAATCGTAAGGCGATTGAGACATTGGCAGGTCCTGGGAAGAGCGAAAGTCCCGCTGGACAGGACCGGGAATGCCCTTCCTGCTTCTCCTTGTGCCCGTTCCACACACAGAACAGAGCAGGGGAACGGCCTCTTGCACCCCCAGCTCACACAGGAGCAAGTCCAGGAGCTCCCTCCTGCCTGGAGCAGAGGGAAGCGGGAGAATCCGGCGCTGTGGTTCTCCCAGTTCTGTTCCTTGGCTTTCACTCGGTGCCAGAGTCGCTGGGACAGCAGAGGCGGTGCTGGCGCATTCCATGGGACACAGATCCAGGGACCTGCCCTCCTGAGCTGCGCCAGATTTTGGGGATCGCAGCCCCTGCCAATGACAAGGTCTTTCAGTGAGAGGGACGATCAGTTGAGGCTCCATATATTAGTTATTGACACACGCAGGGAAGGCGGGTCAGTCTGGTTTTCCATGGGTATCCATATATAAAGTGTATGTTGCCCTGCACATTTTTTATATATCATTATATATATATATATATAAAATTTAAAAAAAAAAAAAAAACAAAACTAAAAGCTAGGAAATCTCACATCCCCAGGAGGGCTGTGTCCTGTCCTTTTCCACCTGTCCCAGGAGCGGGAGAGGGGCATCAGATGGAGTCTGCACATCCAGGTCCCCCTCCCTGTGCCCACCCCTGTGCCCTGCAGGGGCTCAGTCAGTGCCCCGAGGTCCCTCCTCAGTCCCGCTCTGCCCTGTGGCTCCTGGGCTCAGTTCTCCCAGGCTCTCCGCAGGATCCGGGCTGTGCGTGGCCTTCCCCGAGCTGGGACAGTCGGAGCTGTCCCGGGATGGGTCCTTCAGAGGCTCTGCCAGGTCTGTGTGGGCACACAGGTCCTGCACCTTCTTGTTGAGGTCGTTGCGCTCCGTCTGCAGGGCCCGGCACAGCTTCTCCAGCCGCTGGATCTTCACCTGCAGCCCCTCCAACTCCTTGTCCCGGAGGGTTTTCTGCAGGGAGAGGCAAAAAGGGAGGGATGAAATCCCAGAGGGATATGGGCAGACAGTGACAGGATGGGGAGGATGGTTTTAAACTGCCAGAGGGCAGGGTTAGGTGGGATAGGGGGGAGAAATCCTTCCCTGGGAGGGTGGGGAGGCCCTGGCACAAGTTGCCCAGAGAAACTGTGGTTGCCCCATCCCTGGAAGTGTCCAAGGCCAGGTTGGAGCAACCTGGGATAGTGGAAGGTGTCCCTGCCCATGGAATTGGATGATCTGTAACACTCCTCCCAACCCAAACCATTCCATGACTGATTCTAGAGAAGCCTGAGAAGGGAAAATACTTGTGACCAAGCAAACACTCAGCATTCAAAGCACCTGAAGCTGCATCAAGGCTTTCCTTCTGCCCTTGCTCCCTCAGACCTCACCATCCTGCATTAAGGCAGGGGTTGTCCTGCCCCCCCTCAGCTCCAGCCCACCCCCAGGGCCTCCTCACCTCCTCTGCCATCTCCAGGAGAGCCTTGTTGCTGCTCTCCCAGCGGGAGCGGTACATGGTGGTCTCCTTCTCCAGCTTCTTGATCTTCTTGGTCATCTACAGGATCACAAAAAGGGCACAAATGGAATCACAGAATATCCTGAGTTGGAAGGGACCCATCAAAGTCCAACTCCTGGCCCTGCACAGGACACCCCAAGACAAATAAGCCTCAAATAAGCCCCAGGCAGAGCACTGCAGTGACATCCCACATGTCCTCAGGTGCCACCCCCTCCCCTGGCACAGACCCAAAATTAAACAGAACAATGGAGCTGTGGCTCTTGCAGCTCACATGGAGGAGAGCCATGACAGCAGAAGTGTCACCCACCTTCTCCATCTCCTGTTTAAACGTTGTGAACACTTCACTGCTTTTGGAAAGGGTGTTCTGGAATTCCTCAAACTTCTCTGTGTAGAGAGCCAGCTGTGGGGAGAGACAGGGAGCTCACCAGGGCACCCACTGACAGCCTCACCCGGGCAGGGAAGAGGCCAAACAGGGGCTGAGCTGCTTGTCCCGGGACACAAACAAACTGGCAGCACAGAGCTGCTCTGCCAAGGGAAAATTCTGCCCTAGGGAAACACCCTCAGAGTGGTGTGTCCTATAAACATCTCCTGGCCAGGGCAGGAGGCACTTGCTGGGGCTGATTCAGTGAGGGATGATCTCATGACTGCTCCCAGCACTGGAAAAAAACAAGGCACCTTTCTCCCAGAAGGCAGAATTGCTGAAGGAAGTCTCAGCTCACCAATACCAAAGCCCAGGAGAGATCCTCCCCCTGTGTTTTCCAGATTAAGGAACTTTGGGTTGTTCCTTGCTTAGGAAGGAAGAAAAGAAAGCCAAACAAAACAGGCTTAGCACACAGAGCAGGTGACTCACCTGCTGCTTGAGGTGGGTCTCCTGCTGCTTCATCAGCTCACACATCCTCTGTGATTCCACAGCTTCCTTCAGCAGCTGGGGAAGAGCAAAAGCAGTTACCTGGGAATGCTCTGAGCACATCCCTGCACGGCTGGTGCTGGGCCTGGAGATGGGAGCGGGCTGGGAGAAGCACAAGGAGCAGAGCAGGGCTCCAGCCCAGCTCCTGAAGCTGCTCAGGAAGCAAGGCAAGATGTGGCATAACCTGCTCTGGGCTCTGCACTCAGGGATCCAGCAGTAACAAGGGTCACAACCACCCCAGAACTGCTCCACGACTTACAAAGTCCTTCTCCCGCTGGTGCCTCTCCTCTGCCTCCTTCAGCATTTCCTGGGCCTGCTGGAGTTTGGCATCCACCAGCTGCTGCTGCAGCTCCTTGTGCTTGAACACCTTGTCAATGTGCTGCCAAGGGAACACCACAGGCTCAGAAGACCCCAGACAAACAGATATTCTTACTGCAGGTTATTTGTGAGCAGTGTCTAATTAATGTACGTTAAGGGCATGAATGAACCTCAACGTTCTACACAAAGTAAAAACGTCTAGTTTGCATTAAATGAATTGAGGGAACTCTCAACAGCATAAATAAACAACCTAAAAAAATATCATGTAACTTTTACTGGTATAAAATGCACATAGCTGGGTGTTTGTACGTGCATTTAGACACACTGGATATAGATACATTTAGATATATTGGATATTTTGGATATACTGGATATTTTCCTCTGCTAAAGCAGTGAGTGTGTGGTGCACTTCCCCCTCCCTGCTGAATCTTTGAGTGTTGCTTTTGAAAACCTGTGTTTTCCTTCCCTTCCACTCTGCAAAACATGGCCTTGATGTTCTGTGGCAGTAAAAAAAACTGGCTTGATGAGAGCATATTACTGGGCTGTGATTACCAGGAATGTGATGATGGAGAATCTGCTGGGTTTATTTCCCCTCTGGAAGCAGGAACTCCCTTCCCTGGGCAGGGGGATGCCCCTGTCCTGACCCACCTCCTCCCGCAGCTCGTACTGCTCGATGAGCTTCTTGAGCCTCTCTGCCAGCTCCATGTTCTCCTGGCGCAGCTTGGAAT